CATACTATTAACACTATCATCATCACGTTTACGGTGGAGTTTTGTTCTCTGAGCTGGATGGTTTGGTCGTGGAGCTTTCATCGTTCTTCTGAACGACATCATCAGCACAAACTTCAGATAGAAGTGAAGTGTTTGAATTTCTCCATATGTGTCTCAAAGCTTGTTCTGTGCACCTCGACGTTGATTGGTTCTTATTGACCTTAAATTTGTCGTTGTTTACTTCTTTGTTTTGGTTGTGTCTCCCATTGTTTTGAATTTTGTTCGTATGTTTGTGCCTGATTTTTCTGATTGGTTGATAAATTGGATTGATTTCAATATGTTTGTTGATTGCTGATTGACCTGAGTGCCAGGCTTCTAAAAATTCTCTGGTGTTTTTGGAGTTTCCTCTGTCTAAGATTTCCACATTTTTCCAGTCGAATGAGTGTCCGCAGTTGTCCACGTATATTGAGATAAGTGAAGAGATATCATGCCGTTTGACTGCTAATTGATGTTCATGTAGGCGAAGGTGAAGGGGGCGTCCACTTTGTCCGATATAGTGTTTTTCGCAGTTGGCACAATTTATCTTGTAGATGATGTTTGATTTGTTTTCCTTTGTTATTTCATCTTTTGGTTTGCATAAGATTGATTGTAGTGATTTTGTCGGTTTGTGTGCCACACCTATTCCGAAGGTTTTCAGCAGTCTCGTCGCGGTTTCTGATATTCCTTGTATATATGGTAGGGTGATCCTTTTGTTGATTTTTGTGCTTGACTTGAGTTCTAATGCTGCGTGCCGTTGGTATTTTTTGATGAAGTTGATGGGGTAGCCGTTCTTCTGGAATACATCTTTTAGGTATTTCTCTTCATTTCTTCGTGCTGCCAGTGTGCTGCAGTGTGTCCTCGCCCTCTTGAACAAATTGTGTACGCAGTTGATTTTGTGAGCTCTGGGGTTGTTGCTATTGTAGTTGAGAATTTGATCCGTGTGGGTCGGTTTCCTATACACTTGAGTTTCTAGTTTCCCTGTGTCGGTTCTAGTGATCAATATATCCAAGAATGCTAGTTGGTTGTCTGACTCCTGTTCCATGGTGAACTTGATGTCATCGAAGACGTTGTTGATCAGGTTGTAAGTGTTTTCTAGTTCATTCTTTTTGACGATGACGAAGGTGTCGTCTACATAGCGATCACTGGTAATATAGCGGCTTCTAGTCTTTGCATCACTGCCTCTGCGATCAATCCTGATAATGGTGATCCCATTGGTGTCCCTTTCGTTTGCTCGTAGATTTTGTTGTTGAATTGAAAGTATGTTGTTAGGCATAAATTGATGAGTTCCTGTAGACTTTGAATTTGAAGCTTCGTGTATTTATTGAGGTTTGTGTCGTTGTTGAGTAGCAGGGATATAGTTTCTTTTGCTAATTTTGGTTCAATTGAGGTGAATAGTGCTGTCACATCGAAGGATATCATCAGTTCGTCGTTGTTGATTTGGATGTCCTTAATTTGGTCCAGGAAATGTGTAGGGGATTTGATTGAGTGGTTGGCTGAATCTACTAAATGTCTCAGTATTCTTGAAATTTCTTTTGACAAATTGTATGTTGGTGTTCCGGGGAGTGCTACAATTGGACGTAGTGGGATGTTTGGCTTGTGTATTTTGGGTCTACCGTAGAATCGAGGAAGTACTGGTCCGTTGGATTTCATTCTCCATTGTTCTTGTTTTGTTATTTCTCCTGCTTTGACTAGTTTGTTTAAGGTCTTTGAGATTTGGTTGTCTAATTTTTTGACGGGATTTGCACCCTACCATATATACAAGGAATATCAGAAACCGCGACGAGACTGCTGAAAACCTTCGGAATAGGTGTGGCACACAAACCGACAAAATCACTACAATCAATCTTATGCAAACCAAAAGATGAAATAACAAAGGAAAACAAATCAAACATCATCTACAAGATAAATTGTGCCAACTGCGAAAAACACTATATCGGACAAAGTGGACGCCCCCTTCACCTTCGCCTACATGAACATCAATTAGCAGTCAAACGGCATGATATCTCTTCACTTATCTCAATACACGTGGACAACTGCGGACACTCATTCGACTGGAAAAATGTGGAAATCTTAGACAGAGGAAACTCCAAAAACACCAGAGAATTTTTAGAAGCCTGGCACTCAGGTCAATCAGCAATCAACAAACATATTGAAATCAATCCAATTTATCAACCAATCAGAAAAATCAGGCACAAACATACGAACAAAATTCAAAACAATGGGAGACACAACCAAAACAAAGAAGTAAACAACGACAAATTTAAGGTCAATAAGAACCAATCAACGTCGAGGTGCACAGAACAAGCTTTGAGACACATATGGAGAAATTCAAACACTTCACTTCTATCTGAAGTTTGTGCTGATGATGTCGTTCAGAAGAACGATGAAAGCTCCACGACCAAACCATCCAGCTCAGAGAACAAAACTCCACCGAAATCATCCACCTGAGCTACAAATCTTCTCCACCATCTCATCACGTTTATTATCATCAACACCAGACATACCACAAACAGCTTTAGAAACTTTACCATCCATTTCGTCATTTTCTTTCGGCCTTTTGCTTTGCGTTCCCATCGTATGTCTTTGTTCCATGGAATCTGTTACCTAAACAAAGGTGAAGTAATCCGAACGAAATCGAACGATAGGACCGGATGATTGGACCCAAAATGTCCAAAAAATCCAAAGTATGTAGACCACAGAACAAATAATTGAAGACCTTTATGATACGTCCAAGTTTTTGCTCGCTTCCGTTATTGAAGTAGGGTATATCGATGTATTTGCAACGTACGAACTCAAGCTAACGATAGAACCGGACTCCAATTTGAATACTAAAGTTTATTTGCTATTTACAAATAGTCGACCCAAACGTCATTCTTCAATTTCGTAGGTTCCCGGAGCAAAAACTCCCAAATACCTAAACAAATAAAAAGAAGCCAAAATGTCCGAAAATAATGATATGAACAAACACGTTCAGAAGTTGAGTAAAACCAATACTTCCAAAAACTCAGCGAAATTGATAATATCCAATGCAAAGGTTTTAATCAGCCAAATGTCTGCAGTTCTCCCGTAACATATTTACTGCAGAGATCGTGGACACAAATCAAACTGCATTATAGACTCAGCCAAAAGAAATGTAGCTTTTCAACCCAAATGGAAATAATTTAGCACAATCCCTCTAGATTTGTTTAAATCACACCTCAAAACGAACCCAAGGCATTACTTCAAAGCCCTAAACTTTACTCATCAAATGAGATGAAGCATGAAGAGTGTCAAATGAGTAGACGATAGGGCTAAGAAGTGAATCTTGCGAAAATAAACTTCGACTATTGGGGTGTTATGGTTCGGCCATGCGAAAATAAGAGGTGAAATGTTGATAGTTCTCAACCTACTAAATACACCTGGAACCTAATAAAAACGTCCAACCAGAAAATCACCGTCACTCTCTACGAGGGAAACCCCGAAGATCTGCAAGTGGACGATTGAAAATGTAGATATAATGTCACTATATTATTAGTAGTTACCTCTTTCCTGAATGCCTTCTCACCTGAAGTGATCTCAGTCCCCTCAGTTGATACTCACCTCGCATTTTGGAACACCCGTGCCTGATACATATCTCGAAAATCACCTACCATTATCGTCGTCACATCATCAAATAATCCCCATATCGCCTATCAACATCTCGTACCACCTTTCGTTCTCTCTCTCCTACCTTCTCACATCGTCTTCATTACCACGTAAATACATCGTCTTCCTGTTTGTTTCTTGGAACATCCATCGCTCAACAGCTGAATGTCTTCTAAATTATTTCCTTTATTACTATCAACCAACCTAGTAAAGTGACAGCTTATTATCCATAACCGCTAATGATCTGAGACGAAATCACTTATTCAAATTACACGATATACAAACCTACACTTAACTAAAATAACTGACAGGAATAAATGCAGTCAAGTGGCTGGACTAATGATTATCGAACATTATCAAAGACTTGTTGAGGATAATGTCCTCAATATCTGACTCCAAATAATAATATCCCGTAACTGAGTATTTTAGGTAGGCTTAATCTCCTAGTAGAATTGCGAATTTACTTGAGATTAATAAAAAGCCTGAACACCAGTTATAGAGATAGTTTATTGTTAATGAATAATAATAATCCACAAGCGTACAGTGAGCAAGCACACGATGAAACAGAGAGAGTGTGAGTTTGTTAAAAATCCATATATATTTGAGAGTTAATCGGGTGTGGATAGATTATCGATTATCTGCACATTGAAACCAATAGGAAAATAGCTTAAGAGTTAATGTACAGACATACATTCGATCATACACATCGAAATTAACATAGTGAATTGAGTCTGAGTTAAAATGACTAGATAAATGATACAGTAGCCAAATGGGCTTGCCACAGACTTGCAGTCGTACTGAAACAATGAGAAGCAAGTGCAAAGAAACTGACCGTTTCATGAAAGCTTGTCACAAAGACAGAAAACAAAAGGACAAAAAGGCAGAGATATTGAATATAGGGCTCACTCAACTATACTCTATATAAACAGAATACTCGCCAAATTCACTTAAACTGTAGCATTCAAGTCTTTAGATTAGTCTGAATAAGCATTACCTTGATATGACACCACCAATCAAGGAAACATTTCGGAAAATTAATTAATTAGATGAATCCAGCCCATAGTTGTTAAGATACGCCAGTGTCTTTAATCAATTTCTAGGTCGAATCCTTGTAGACGTTATGACTTCAAAATATGAATTTCGGACTGTTGGTTTCTACCGATTTGTTAATTTAGAGTATTTAGGTTATGGTTGAGGGGAATATAGGGTGTGGAAAGTCAACATTTTTGCGTTACTTTCAGCAGCTTTCTCCTAAAAATGAAGTCATGCATGAACCGCTATATTTATGGAAAGACGCTAGAGGCTATGATCTATTCGTAACTTGTTTTTTTTAACTTTTCTTATTCATACAGGAACTTATGTATCATGATCAACGCCGATGGTCTGTTCCTTTTCAGGCTCAGGTCCTTGTGACATTACTAGACCGTCAGTCAAAACCACCAGTAAGATAAATCTCGTTTGTATTTTTTTTACCAGCATGTCTAATCCTATATACCTCATATTTCACGAGTTAATTAAGTTGTCAGAAACTTTTCTGGCCAATAATTATTGTCTGACGAGTCCCAGTATATGATGAGGTTAGTAAAAAGCTGCCTATACTAATATAGACCGCCAAAACGCGTCATTGCTTTTGTAAATTATTTCCATAAAATCACCCAAAGAATCTTATGTGGTAACACTTTGTAACAAATGGTAAGGATTACTTCGATTTAATTTCAATCCTTTCGAAGTTTACTAATATAGCTGTCATTTCATATCACTATATGTAGTGATCTTTTTGATACCAAGTTGGCTACTGTGTAATCATTGGAATAAATATGTATGTATACTAGCAGCTCAATGAAGCTTATTCTGACTCGTATGCTATACATATACAAAAAAGTATACTTGAAGTGGCTATCTATACACTTACAATAAACATTCAAGCTGTAACTGAAGTTCTTCGTCGGCGATCTATGCTATTTTGAAGATGTAAGAGTAATTTACTAGCTCAGTTGTTGTTACGTGTATGGATAGCTCGAGTGTAATTTAACAGTTAGTAACTAGTTTGTGTACTAGAATTTTAGTGAAAATTAAATTGCTAGGACCATTAATTCTGCTTAATTTACTGAACCAACGTAGATAAGATGAAGCTTACTCGTATGAACCTCCGGGAGACAGTCTGATAATTAAGCCATTATATTTACACTGGAAAAATATCTTAGTGATATCTTCGTCACTGTATTGGATTTATCGAGTTTTTTTTATATTTTTCTTTCCAAATCCAGACTAAACCAATACGCCTATTGGAAAGGTCAATCCATAGCAGTCGGTACTGTTTTACAGAAAATATGCACAATAAGTAAGTCTCAAAAAGTTTTTTTTAGCACGTACTTATTACTGAGTTTGCTCGTGGTGAAAAGTTTGGGAGTTTCTTGAGAATAATTAATTTCTATGCATTGTAAGTCGCATATTTAATCCTGCTTCGTAAGTCAAAGATCTTAAGATTGAGCTTGATGTTATTGTAGTTTTGTGACACCGAACTGGTCCTAATTTGAAATAAACTCGGTGATTTTGCTACTAGAGAACTATGTTGATTGATTTTAATATAGAGATATTAGTGATCAGTCAGTCAACTGATTTACCATCATTCCCTAATACCCTGCGTCTAACCTCACTATTACTTACCCGGTGATCCCAACAGACGCCGGCAATATTTCTGAGGCATCTGTGGTCAAATACTAGTAGCTTACGAGTGTCTTCTACTCTTAATGGCCATGTTTCGCTGCCGTAAATTAAAACAGAACGGACTACCGCGCAGTATACTCGTCCTTTTATTGATAGACGGATATCTCACCTTCGCCATAAGTGATGTAAGTTGGCAAAAGCCAAGCGAGCTTTTCGAATCCGTGCTGAGATTTCGTCAGGCACCAACCCATTAGGGCTGATCAGACTTCCAAGATAAGTGAAGTTGTCAACGCGTTCGACTACTTCACTCCCTATCCTTAGTTTAGGTGTTGATGCAGACCAGTCCTGAAGCAACAACTTGCATTTAGAGGGAGAGGAGCGCATTCCAAACATTCTGGCATTGTTGCTCAGTGCTACCAGAAGACTCTGCATTTTGTCAGCGTCTTCACCAAACAGGACTATGTCATCTGCGTATTCTAAGTCGATAAGTGGACCTCCTGGTAGGAGATGAATACCCGAGAACTCAGTCGACGAGAGTGTTATTTCCATCAATAGGTCAATGATGAAGTTAAACAAAAATGGAGAAAGTGGACAGCCTTGACGGACACCACTTGAAGTTGCAAAAGTAGATGACAGTTCGCCATAAGCTCTGACTCGACTAGTAGTGTTCGAGTAAAGAGCCTTCACAGGGTTTATGTACTTCTGGGGTACGCCTTTCAATGACAGACACTGCCACAGAATCTCGCGGTCTACAGAGTCAAATGCTGCTTTTAATTCAAGAAAGACCACCATTGTCGGACGTCGATAAGTATGCCTGTGTTCTAGAATCTGACGAATGGTGAATATGTGGTCGATGCAGCCACGACCAGGTCTAAAGCCAGCTTGGTTCTCTCGTGTTTGCAGTTCACGAGTCTTAGTTAGGCGTCTGATAATTATCGAGGCTAGTATTTCAGATACTATATTACTTAAACTAATCCCTCTATGGTTGTCACAGGATGATTTTGACCCTTTCTTATATATTGGGACGATAAGTGATTGTGACCAGTTAGGTGGGATAACCTCCAACTCCCAGATCGTAGCTAAAATATTAGTCAACCTAATCGCTAAAATTGGACCACCATCCTTAAAGACCTCTGGAGCCAATCCATCTGGACCAGCTGCCCTTCCTCGTTTCAGATTAACTATAGCCTTTTGAACTTCAGCAAGAGTTGGGGGACCTACTTCAATGTTCCATTCACATTGTCTGGGAATGAAGGGTAGTTGTAGAGTAGCTGAAGGCCAGCGGAACTGTTCTCTGAAATGTTCCACCCATCGTTCTAAACGCCTGGACTGGAAGCAGATGAGTGTATCGTCTTTTTCCGATATAATCTCACTTACACTTGACTTATTAATTCCAGTTTCTTTTATTAGTCTGTAAAGCTGTCTTGTGTTCCCTATAGTCGCCGCCTTTTCCATCTCTTTTGCTTTCGTTACCCACCACTGCTCACGGTCGTTTCTTAGACTTTTTCTTAACCTAGATCTGATTTGTTGTCGCTCTTCATCATGTTCGGAACCTGATGGGACGACTTTGCGAGAATCCATCAGTGTGACAGACCTTGAAGAAATCCACTGGTTCCTTGCAACTCTGTGGTTTAAGTCACTAATAGATGTCACTGCTGTTTCCACAGCTGATTGTATGCCCTTCCAAGCAACATCTGGGTCAGCCTCGTCTTCAAAACTACCTAATTGTGGCCTCAGTTGTTCCTGGAACCTACTTTTGGTTTTCTCGTTACTCAATTCAGTTCTAATAGATCTTTTAAGTGTGGCTTTTTTTGCGTCCAGTGAGGCGCAAGCAGAGGCGTGCCCGTATTGGGGCGTGGTCGGAGTCCAAGCAGGTACTCCAGAATGAGCGACAATCTTCTACCGATCCTCTCCAGCGATGACTGATGGCAATATGGTCTATTTGAGTCCATCGTTGGTTTGGTGTAGGCGGTCGCCATGTTAGACGATCACCATTATCTGTTCGTTGTGCTGGAATACTAAAATACCCACCTAAATGCCTTTCTGTTTGGTTTAAACTACCTATCTGGGCATTAAAGTCACCTGCTACAAATACTATGTCTGAACGTTTAGCTTTCTGAAGAAGTTCGGACAGCTTTCTGTAAAATTCATCTTTCACTTCATCTGAGCTGCAGTCGGTGGGAGCGTAGGCAGAAACGACAAAAAGGCAACGACGTGTGTCCCTATCCTTCCGAGTTCTTACGGAGCCGTTTAGCCGAACAGCACATAGACGACTGTTAACGGGGATCCACTCTAACAGTGCTTGTTCCGCCCTCATGCTTAGTGCTATCCCTAATCCTGCCAGTCCACGAGAGCTGGCCATCGGGTCACCAGATACACGGAGGGTGTATCTCGTTGGCTCTTCGTGTTGCCGAGGTGAGGTCAAGTGAATGACCACACTGGGATCCTGTATGCGTGTTTCAGAGACATAGCATACATCAATGGTACGAGATTCTAGGGTTCTAACCAAGGAAGCCTGTTGACCGATTTGACATAGGGTGCGTACGTTGAAGGCTCCAATGTGTAGTTTGGGGCGAGGTTTCAGTAGACCTGGGACAGTGTTTTGAGCACTAGAATCGTTGGCTATGGTGACATTTGAGGAGGAAGCCGAAAAAGGAAGTTTAGAGGTGAAAGTCGATGTAGGAGGAGTAATAGAAAGTGAAGACGGAGGTTGATTAGGAACACAGTGGTCTTGAGTGTTGTTAGAGGTATGAGGGTGGTTATCACTTCCCGGTTGCCCACACCGTGGGAGGGTTCTTCTGGAGGTACCTGGAAAGGAAATTGGATCAGAGGTGGTCTTAGTGACCTGAGAGCGTGACCGCAGTGCCCAAGGGACTACTGCCTGAGGTCGGTCACACACGACCCTTTTATGGATAATTTTTGTGTTAGCTCCGTACTTTTTGGGACCTTACCGCCGGAGACGGATATCCGTGGGATAAGGCGAGGTGTGCATTTTTAGGGTCGACCTTTTCTAACCCCACTCCTCCTTGTGGGAAGGCAGCATCGCTGTCATGCTGATTGTCTGAAGGAAACACCTTACTGCTGTCACACCTCTGTACAGTCAGCAGCACGACTTCGCCTTCGGACCTTAGGTTTGTTGCTTTTAGTCTTACCGCTCTTCAACCGACCTGTCTGACATGGTAGGACCTTGAGGAACAGTTGTTCCAGCCAGTATAGCTCGGTTGCTTCATCACGATAGGCAAGCCCGACCACCACGTCAAGGTAGCAACAACGGTCGTGAGATATTAGTGATACACCTACTTTTCTCGTGACCATAGCCAAGACTTTGATATTTGAAATAAACAGCAGCTGATAAGGCAGACGATTGGCTTAGAATCCTCGCCATAAATATACCTGTCTCATGATGTAATGTGAACTATGTCGCATAGACCAACCGCTAATTGATCATAATGCCCTTTATATTGCACGCCTATCTGGTTCAACATTGACTCAACGTAGTGCTAAATATATTAGTTTATTGTTTGTGTTAGTCATACTTATATCCATCATTTTTAGCATTGACAATAAGCTTCGTCTACCGCTATTAGGAATCTGTTTCATCGTTAAATGTGACCCACCAAATAGTTCATCACTACTTTTTAAAATAGTAGCTTGTGGATCTAAATAAATTTAATAATAGTTTACAGTTATATTTCCTAGCCTGTAAGCCACACCTAGTGTTTTAGGACAAGTTTTTACATAACTGACTGTCATTAAAACATGTAAGCAATAAAATGTAGTATGTAACTCAACCATTCATAAGCTTTTTTCGTCTTATTTGTGATTCAAGCCAAAGTATAGGCCAGCGTAGAAAAAATCTTTGGATTTGAAATGACCCCTTAAATAATCCTTTTTGAAATTATCCTCCCTGTAACTTTCAAGAATATATCTGTATTATATTTACCGTTTATTGACATGATGGGAGTTAGTAGATAGTTTATGGTTTAGTGCTACAAAAACATTCATATTTCCACTTTATAGTGGGAGTATTTCAGATGCTGACTATGAAGAGCTCCTCAAAATTTTCCAATGGATATTGAAGAATAAAAGTGGACCAGTAGATCTAATCGGTAAGTGTATATTCTAGTTTATGAAGAAAATTTCTAGTTCATACATCTGGTTTAGGACTCGTTTGCGTTGACGCTTGAGTTAATGATAGTGTGTCAAAGTTAAGTGCATCGAACATACCACTTGTCTTGGAAGTATCATCAGCCCTTATAGACTAGTGTCTGACTAAATTTCAGCACGGACTCAGAAGGATCGATTGGCTCTTGCCAACATGCCTCACTTGTGGCTTAGATGAGATATCTGTCTTCCAACCAAAGGACGAGTTTATTGCTCAGCAGTTCACTCTAACATCAACTCCTGGATGCAGGTGCATCCTGCTGACAAGTGCCGAGCAGGACGGAACGTGCGTCCTGGATTCCGTTCCTAGCTACCATCCATCTCCACTTAGGATGAAGGTAATAGTTTAAGGTTTTATGATAAAATTGTATCTTTTGTGGCATACAGAACTGTTTTCAGTGGTAGATATTCGCATTACTCTGGCAAATGACCTACTTTACTATGTTTTAGTTGAGGTAACTTCATTAGTTCGAATTATAACCTGTTTATGAATTTGCATTGAGAGTCATTCGTTCCACTCTTACGAAGGTTGTGTTTAGATCTTACTGTTTTCTTTCGTTTTAGAATTAAGGTAACAGAAAAAATTTCATGTTGTTTTCATATACTTTACTTCCAGCTCAAGTTTGTTCATTCTTTGAGCAACCATTAACTAAACTACACAATTCTTAAACTTTACAGATTATATTTTGACATTTGGTCTATCAAATGGATTATCATATGTCTTCTGTAACTCATATGTCTGAAAATTGTAGTGTTTAGTGTTCTTATTCACTTTCACGGAATATCTTCAAGAGAAACAATTCAAACCCCATTTCTTTATCCATCAGTGTAACTGCTATGGTAGATACATGTAAATTACTTAATAGTTGATAATGGCATTAAGAGTGTGCTTTCTAGTTTTTAATCGTGTTTTAAACATGTTCTACACAAAAGGACTCTTTGATCTGGAGAATGAGCTTATTTAGCGTAGTTTTAAACCTTCTTTTGAGTGTCCGTAGAGTGTCATTATCTTTAAAGCTAAGGTTGTTTGTTAGGTTGATCTATGACATCTATAAATTTCACAAACGAAGGACTTATCTAATTACTATTCACTTGCTCACTGATGACTGTTGTCTATTAACACTTCCAAGAGTATTGAAGAGAAACTATAACCTGTTGAGTCTAACCATGCTATAAATAAGACGGTGATTCACTGGTAACGTTAAATAACTACCATTTCTCGATCGCAGATAGACTAAATATGTGTACCGTTGAATTCTTACTCAGTGGTCTGGTGGCATAGTTATCTTCTGGTCCAGATGCCATAGATTTTATCAGTTCCCCAAAATGCCCTAGTACAACCGACGGCGGAGAGTCAGCTCTCCCTCTCGAAATGTTCTCACATGACCACGCGTATGCAACGGCTGCCAGGGAAGTCCTACTCACAGTCTTTTCGCGGCAGGGGCCAGTCATTCGGCTACAACGTAAGACCAGACACATATATACATCGGTCCAAGTTGCCACATCGGATTAGCACAACAAGATGAACACTAAATTCATAGAAGTAGTTAATTCAGAGGTGGTAATATATAAAAGAAAGATTGCAATAAGGATATAGTACAGGAAGAAAGAATTAGTTCATAGAAAGAAAGATATAAAGCAATTGTAATCTCACGTTGTTGCTACCTTGACGTGGTGGTCGGGCTTGCCTATCGCGATGAAGCAACCGAGCTATACTGGCTGGAACAACTGTTCCTCAAGGTCCTACCATGTCAGACAGGTCGGTTGAAGAGTGGTAAGACTAAAAGCAACAAACCCAAGGTCCGAAGGCGAAGTCGTACTGCTGACTGTACAGAGGTGTGACAGCAGTAAGGTGTTTCCTTCAGACAACCAGCATGACAGCGATGCTGCCCTCCCACAAGGAGGGGTGGGGTTAGAAAAGGTCGACCCTAAAAATGCACACCTCACCTTACCTCACGGATATCCGTCTCCGGCGGTAAGGCCCTTTGAAGAACGGAGCTAACACGTCGAAAACCTTCCACGAAAAGGCCGTGCGCGACCGGCCTCAAGCAGTTGTCCCTTGGGCACTGCAGTCACGCTCTCAGGTCACTGAGACCACCTCTAATCCAATTTCCTTTTCAGGTACCTCCAGAAGAACCCTTCCTCGGTGTGGGCAACCGGGAAGTGATATCAGCCCTCATACCTCTAACAGCACCCAAGATCACTGTATTCATAATCAACCTTCCTCTTCAATTCCTATTATTCCTCCTACATCGACTTTCAACCCTAAACTTCCTCCTTCGGCTTCCTCTTCAAGTGTCACCATAGCCAACGATTCTAGTGCTCAAAACTCTGTCCCAGGTCTACTGAAACCTCGCTCCAAACTACACATTGGAGCTTTCAACGTACGCACTCTATGTCAAATCGGTCAACAGGCTTCCTTGGCTAAAACCCTAGAGTCTCTTACCATTGATGTATGCTATGTCTCTGAAACACGCATACAGGATCCCAGTGTGGTCATTCACTTGACCTCACCTCGGCAACACGAAGAGCCAACGAGATACACCCTTCGTGTATCTGGTGACCCGATGGCCAGTTCTCGTGGACTGGCAGGTGTAGGCATAGCACTAAGCATGAGGGCGGAACAAGCACTGTTAGAGTGGATCCCCGTCAACAGTCGTCTATGTGCTGTTCGGCTGAACGGCTGCGTAAGAACTCGGAAGGATAGGGACACACGTCGTTGCCTTTTTGTCGTTTCTGTCTACGCTCCCACTGACTGCAGCTCAGATGAAGTGAAAGATGAATTTTACAGAAAGCTTTCTGAACTTCTTCAGAAAGCTAAACGCTCAGACATAGTACTCGTAGCAGGTGATTTTAATGCTCAGATAGGTAGCTTAAACCAAACAGAAAGGCATTTAGGTGGATATTTTAGTATTCCGACACAGCGAACAAATAATGGTGATCGTCTGCTGCAGCTATGCTCAGACAATCGTTTATTTTTAGCAAACACAAATTTTAAGCATAAGGAGAGACATCGTCTAACATGGCGACCCCCTACACCAAACCAACGATGGACTCAAATAGACCATATTGCCATCAGTCATCGTTGGAGAGGGTCGGTAGAAGATTGTCGCTCATTCTGGAGTACCTGCTTGGACTCCGACCATGCCCTAATACGGGCACGCATCTGCTTGCGCCTCACTGGACGCAAAAAAGCCACATTAAAAAGACCCGTTAGAACTGAGTTGAGTAACGAGAAAACCAAAAGTAGGTTCCAGGAACAACTGAGGTCACACTTAGGTAGTTGTGAAGACGAGGCTGACCCAGATGTTGCTTGGAAGGGCATACAATCAGCTGTGGAAACAGCAGTGACATCTATTAGTGACTTAAACCACAGAGTTGCAAGGAACCAGTGGATTTCTTCAAGGTCTGTCACACTGATGGATTCTCGCAAAGTCGTCCCATCAGGTTCTGAACATGATGAAGAGCGAAAACAAATCAGATCTAGGTTAAGAAAAAGTCTAAGGAACGACCGTGAGCAGTGGTGGGTAACGAAAGCAAAAGAGATGGAAAAGGCGGCGACTATAGGGAACACAAGACAGCTTTACAGACTAATAAAAGAAACTGGAATTAATAAGTCAAGTGTAAGTGAGATTATATCGGAAAAAGATAATACTCTCATCTGCTCCCAGTCCAGACGTTTAGAACGATGGGCGGAACATTTTAGAGAACAGTTCAGCTGGCCTTCAGCTACTCTACAACTACCCTTCATTCCCAGACAATGTGAATGGAACATTGAAGTAGGTCCCCCAACTCTTGCTGAAGTTCAAAAGGCTATAGTTAATCTGAAACGAGGAAGGGCAGCTGGTCCAGATGGATTGGCTCCAGAGGTCTTTAAGGATGGTGGTCCAATTTTAGCGATTAGGTTGACTAATATTTTAGCTACGATCTGGGAGTTGGAGGTTATCCCACCTAACTGGTCACAATCACTTATCGTCCCAATATATAAGAAAGGGTCAAAATCATCCTGTGACAACCACAGAGGGATTAGTTTAAGTAATATAGTATCTGAAATACTAGCCTCGATAATTATCAGACGCCTAACTAAGACTCGTGAACTGCAAACACGAGAGAACCAAGCTGGCTTTAGACCTGGTCGTGGCTGCATCGACCACATATTCACCATTCGTCAGATTCTAGAACACAGGCATACCTATCGACGTCCGACGATGGTGGTCTTTCTTGACTTAAAAGCAGCGTTTGACTCTGTAGACCGCGAGACTCTGTGGCAGTGTCTGTCATTGAAAGGCGTACCTCAGAAGTACATAAACCTTGTGAAGGCTCTTTACTCGAACACTACTAGTCGAGTCAGGGCTTATGGCGAACTGTCATCTACTTTTGCAACTTCAAGTGGTGTCCGTCAAGGCTGTCCACTTTCTCCATTTTTGTTTAACTTCATCATTGACCTATTGATGGAAATAACACTCTCGTCGACTGAGTTCTCGGGTATTCATCTCCTACCAGGAGGTCCACTTATCGACTTAGAATACGCAGATGACATAGTCCTGTTTGGTGAAGACGCTGACAAAATGCAGAGTCTTCTGGTAGCACTAAGCAACAATGCCAGAATGTTTGGGATGCGCTTCTCTCCCTCTAAATGCAAGTTGTTGCTTCAGGACTGGTCTGCATCAACACCTAAACTAAGGATAGGGAGTGAAGTAGTCGAACGCGTTGACAACTTCACTTATCTTGGAAGTCTGATCAGCCCTAATGGGTTGGTGTCTGACGAAATCTCAGCACGGATTCGAAAAGCTCGCTTGACTTTTGCCAACTTACGTCACCTTTGGCGAAGGCGAGATATCCGTCTATCAATAAAAGGACGAGTATACTGCGCGGCAGTCCGTTCTGTCTTACTTTACGGCAGCGAAACATGGCCTTTAAGAGTAGAAGACACCCGTAAGCTACTAGTATTTGACCACAGATGCCTTAGAAATATTGCTGGCATCTGCTGGGATCACCGGGTAAGTAATAGTGAGGTTAGACGCAGGGTATTAGGTAACGATGGTAAATCAGTTGATGAGGTTGTGAATCTTCATCGACTGAGATGGTTGGGCCACGTATTACGTATGCCTGAACACCGATTACCACGACGTGCAATGCTAACCGGTGTAGGGGATGGTTGGAAAAAAGTTAAGGGCGGCCAAACCAAAACGTGGCATCAGTGCTTGAAGTCACTAACTTCTAGTCTTAGCCATGTTGGTAGATGCAGACTACTTGGTTGGGTTCCGCGTGACTTTCGTAACCAATGGTTGGAGACTCTTGGTGACATGGCTCAGAATCGATCACAATGGCGTCGGTGTATACACTCCCTGTCTTCCCTTAAACTAAGAGATTAAAATCACTTCATATCTTTCTTTCTACGAACTAATTCTTCCTTCCTATACTATATCCTTATTGCAACCTTTGACCTAACCACTCCTATGAATCCGGTGTTCATCTTGTTGTGCTAATGAGGTATGGCAACCTGGACCGATGCACATATGTGCCTGGTCCTACGTTGTAGCTGACTGACTGACTGACTGGTTTAAGGGAAGAGAGAATATATTCACCTACACCACTGTGATCGATTATGAGCCATGTCACCCAGAGTCTCCAACCATTGGTTAGGATAGTCACGCGGACCCCAACCAAGTAGTTTGCATCTGCCAACATGGCTAAGACTAGAAGTTAGTGACTTCGAGGACTGATGCCACGTTTTCGTTTGGTCGCCCCTAACTTACTTCCAACCATGTTCAACACTGGTCAGCATTGCGCGTCGTGGTAATCGGTGTTCAGATATACGTAACACGTGGCCCAACCATCTCAGTCGATGAAGTTTCACAACCTCATCAACTGATTTACCATCATTCCCTAATACCCTGCGTCAAACTTCACTATCACTTATCCGGTGATCCCAGCAGATGCCAGCAATATTTCTAAGACATCTGTGATCAAATAGTAGTAATGTCCGAGTATCTTCTACTCTTAATGGCCACGTTTCGTAGCCGTAAAGTAGAACAGAACGAACTGCCGTGTGGTATACTCATCCTTTTATTGGTAGAAAGATACCTCGACTTCCCCACAGGTGATGTAAGTTGGCAAAAGCCAAACGAGATTTTTGAATCCGTGCTGAGATTTCGTCAGACACCAACCCATTAGGGCTGATCAGACTTCCAAGATAAGTGGAGCTGTCGACGCGTTCTAGTAATTCACTCCCTATCCTTAGTTCATGTGTTGACGCAGGCCAGTCCTGAAGCAGTAACTTGCATTTAGAGAAGGAGAAATGCATTCCAAACATTCTGGCGTTGTTTCTCACTGCTATCGGCGTCTTCACGAAACAGGACTATGTCATCTGCGTATTCTAAGTCGATAAGTGGACCACCTGGAACGAGATCAACTCCTAACAATCTAGTCAACGTGAACGTTATTTCCAGCAGTTGGTCTATGATGAAATTAAACAAATGGATGTAGTGGACAGCCTTGCAGAACGCCACTTGAGATTTCGAAATCAGATGAAAGTTCATCATAAGCTCTAACTCAACTGGTAGTGTTCGAGTAAAGGGCCCTCACAAGGTTTATTTAATCCTGATGTACACCTTTCGATGACAGACACTGCCACACAATCTCTCGGTCTACCGAGTCAAATGCTGCTTCTAAGTCAAGAAATACTATCATTGTCGAACTCCGATAAGCATACCTGTGTTTTAGAACCTGACGAGTAGTGAATATGTGATCGATGCAGCCACGACAAGGTCTGAAGCCAGCCTGATTTTCTCGTGTTCGTAGTTCACGAGTCTTAGTTAAGCGTCTGATAATTATTGAGGCTAGTATTTTAGATGCTACATTAGTTGGACTAATTTGTCTATGGTTGTCACTGGATGGTTTTGACCCCTTATTATACATTGAGACGATTAGTGATTGCGAACAGTCAGATGGGATTACATCCAACTTCCAGATTTTAGCTAAAATATTAGTCAACTTAATCTCTAAAACTGGGTCACCATTCTTAAAGACCTCTGTAGTTAGTCCCTCTAAACCAGTTGCTCTTCCTAGTTTCAGATTATCTATAGCTTTTTTAACTTCAATTAAAGTCGAGGGGCCTACTTCAATGTTCCATTCAGGCTGTTCGGAAATGGTTGGTAGCTATAAAGTATTTGAAGGCCATCCGAACTGCCCCTTAAAGTGTTCTTCCCATCGTTCTAAACGTCTGAGCTCAGAGCAGATCAGCAAGGTTGTTGTTTACGGAACTGGGAGAACAGAAAGTGAATGTCCGACGCTCTAACCGGGTTGATGGATATAGAAGATCCACTTAGGGGAGTTGGAATTCCTGATTCCAAACCAATGGTGCACATAAGCTCCAGGCTTCTGAGGGAACAAAATCACGTATGAATTTATTGTTGGTCACCGGCTACCATGGGACTCTATCTCTTAATGTTGCTCCGTCATCTTTTTGATTGGACCTTGAGGTCAAAGACTCGGGTAGTGGGCCCCTAGGAAAACTATCTGTTTCGTTTTGGACACCTAAGTAATATTGCAGCTCTCACACAAATCAATGATAACTACTACTGGCCTCATTGTTATTGTATGGCGCATATATATTTGGTGCCCTCTTGTGCTAATGTGTATTTGTTCAAATAAATAAATAATCAAGTTCAATAATGTATATATGCTCTGTTAAAAAGTCTGAAATGAGGTAAAACATCATTCTATCGTTTTCTGGTTTCCAGTTGGTCATTCCGTAGTGTTAAACCACTAAAAAATTTGTAAAATCGTATCACAGCTATAATGTTACATTCATCAAGTATGTATAACCAGCGGATTTTCACCATAGTTTATTCGGTTTTACATACTGCTAATGATAATCAATACTAATGTTCATGTTAGGCTTTTGTTCTTCCAAAAAGAGAACCGTCAAAGCTACATTATTTTTAGACGTGTACACAGAGAAAACAAGATTACAGTTTAAGTGTTATGAAAGTTGGCTTTATTTATTGCACTAACTATGATAATGATACTGAGTGGTTGTCTGAATTAAACTTTCTGAAATAGGTTTATATTTTTAATTTTCGGTTTCAATCATGATTCTTTCCGTTAATTTGCCTAAACAACTAGGAATAATGATGTTTCGAGTCTGATTAGGTTTTCCTTGACGTGTGACATTAGTCTGTCTCATTCGTTAATAAAGTTGTTAACATGGTTTATCTTTTTCCAAAAATATACTCCGTTAAACTAATGAGATATACAGCTTTGTATTTAATTGTAATTTACAAATTTCAAACACATGTGATACCATTAACCCTGATAGATTTGAATTGCATTTCAGTGGATCAGTCATAGTGTGACAATTGATATATCCTTTCATTCTATAATGTCTGTTCTACTATTAACTTCAGTATATTTACGTGCAAGTCCAACTGTTTGCTTCGAGCGTTTACGTGCTAGAAATCGTTCTGGTGAAGAAGATATTCCTCTTGTAAGTTACATAGTTAAATTTTATTACTGTTCATACGCTTACTTCATATGGGGGTTGTAATGTTTATTTTGATTGCTCGTATGCTCTTTTTATATTACAGCTTTATGACAGTTTACAACTTCTTTATCTTGTTCAAAACTCTTTAAGATAATTTATATTGATTTTCATAAATAAGCTGAAAATCTCAATGTCTAGGATTCATATAACATCGTACAATGCTATTTCAAATGGTGCTTCTTGCTTCCTTGGTAAATTTTATCCCTACATTTGATCTTGATAAATATTTTCCCTAGATGTGATGCAAATTATCGCTTTCACAAGACTTGGTTGATGATCATTTGTAGAATATAATGAATTCACTGTATTCGGTTAATTTATCCCCAGCTTATAAGTCTACTTAATATGTAATATTGACAGATAATTTTTTTTATTGAGATCATATGCTGGTCAGTATCAGGCCACCCTTGCAAACCTGGAATCACTGGACTCAGCGGTTAGCATCCATGATTCCGCATGCGAGACTCGGATAAGTCTCAACAGTTTCCACAACCGTATACTGATAAATAGAAGACAAAATTGTGATTTTGTTTATGTTGAAACTTTACGCATATTTCTCTGGTCCAGTACAAGGAAAAGGGTTTCTAGTTATTGTGGATATATTTACAAAGTGACTGGGAGTATATACCACGCCTTACTGTACAACCACAGAAACAATCAACAAGTTTTCTGCTTTATTTAATTGTTTCGGAGTTCCAGAGACACTGGCTCACAATTCATTTCGGACTCATTCAAGCACTTCTTAGTACGAATAGAATAACACATCTTCACTTGCCAGCCTACCATCCCCAATTAAATGGACATCCAGAACGCTTCATCGACGCTTTTAAAAGATCACTACTGAAAGGAGAAAGCGAGCGAATAACTAGTCAGGTTATCATAAGATTTTTAACAGCTTATAAAACTACTCCCAACCCTACTTCCCCTGGTGCCCCCAAATGCTCTGGAACGGCCGAGAGTGGGGAGAGTCCGCTCTCTTACTCGAAATGCTCTCACATGGCAACGCGTATATAGCCTCTACCAGGGAAGTCCTACTCATCGCCTCGTGGCGGGGGTGTTGTTTACGAAATTGAGAGGATGAAAAGCGAATATCCGGCGCTTTAACCGGGTTGGTGGACATGGAGATTCCACACCTAGGGAAGTTGAGAAACGCCGATTCTAAACCAATGGTGCACATGGGCTCCAGGGTCCCGAGAGAACGAATAGCGTATGAACCAATCGTTTGTCACCGGCTACCATGGGACTGCATCTCCTAACGATGCTCCACTGCCTTGTGGATGAGACCTTCAGGTCGAAGGCTCCGGGTGTAGCCTCATGAGAAAACCACCTGCTTCGATTTGGGCACCCGGGGAGTATCACAGCCCTCACACATATCAAATGAGATTTGTGTGGCGCATATGTATTTGGTGCCTCTTTGTACGAATATCTGTGTTAAAATTTAAAAAAATAAAAGCTGTCCCTGGTGGAAAGCCATGTCTAGAGGAATTCGGACTACTTTCAACACTGTGTTGCCACCTAAAACGGTGGATGGGCACAGACAAAATTCGAATATCCGAAGTTTTAATGTAGGCCATAAAATATTCATCAAGTCACACCTCGGGAAGAATCGATGGGAACCAGGAATTATTGTACAAAGATTGGGAAGTGTTTTGTATGGGATCCGAGGAACTTTTGGGATATGTATCAGGCACGAACAAAATCCACAAAGATAAAAGAACAATGCACACTGGAGATAGCCAAGCGAATCTACCATTAGAGTTAATCACAGATACGCCCAAGAATAAAAATAAGGATAAGAAAATGAAGACTTAGACAAGAAAGACAAGAAAAGGAATCCAACGCTGTCGTAAATCAGTGTCAATTTGCAAGTGGACCCCAGCAGGAAATCTTATTCTGAGGAGGTGTTGGGTTGGCTTCGAAAAGCGCGACGAAGCCTCCAGAAGTTGTGAAGGAACCAAGGATATTCCATCTAATCAGGACCTGATATAACCTGGAATATCAACGTGCCATTCCACAATTAGACGATAGCATAACTTGCCTCCTTGTGGATTGGTTGAATTATAATGATGTTATAGCCAACTCTAATAACTATAAATACCCATGTTTTTTTGTACATTTTTATTTTTTACCCAGTAATCACCTCCCGTGTTTCTTCTGTCTGTGGCGTTCTGCCGTTAGTTCTATATCGTATTCTGCCGTAATCAAGTAGAGGACGTAACAGTTTTAAATAAAGCGTTTATACAGAGCTGCTGTAAATTAAGTGAAATGATAGTTTTCTGGACTATACGCATTCCATTAAATTTTCCAGGTCAATCATTCTTGTACTTTAGGGCAACTGATTTTTTTAAATATTTATTTTGATTTCACTACCCTCCACTGATCATGTTCGCCGTACAAACTCACACTAATTCACGACACTCCTTTATCATTCTTGAAATTATTTGTTTGAAAAATCCACTAATTTTCTTCTAGTCTTTAACCTAAAGTTACTAACAGTTCGTTATCTTTTAGATTAGTTGTTCTGCAGCTTTAAATCAAAACAGAAATTACTGTCCTATCTTATGATCGTCTGACCTCTCTCGAGGTGTATGTTTCAAAATTCTCAATTCAAGTCCACAAAAGTTTCTAGCTTTATCTAGTGAAGAAGATTAGTTACTCAAGTGCATGGTTTTGGTTACTTTGTTCTCCATGATTGTGGTTAAATTACTAAGCTTTCGTTGTAGCTGTTATGTTGCGCACTGTCTGAGACTGATATAGATAATCAAACTTAAACACAAACTCTTAACCTGTCACTGAGCGAGAAAAGTAATGAAGGATGAAGTTTATCAGATTAAGCATATATATATATATATATATATATATATATATATATATATATATATTCCTTAGAAAATGAAACTGTTTCTTGGCCAATAACATGTACTTGTCATTAATAGGTACTTGATTGGTGCAACGTGTTCTTATTTGACGAATTTCGGTTGATCCATTGTATTGTTTTACACGACATCGTTAGCGATGACTTTTTGCAAAAGTTAGCTGTTTGATCATTCTAAAAGTAATAAATCAACTTGTTCTGGTGACGTTTTTTAGTGTTTGTATCAGACTTGTTTAAAAGTCTTTTCAGATTTTTTAATAACATCTTAAATGTTCAAGAGTTTCTCATCAGGTTAAATTTATTATTTAGATATTTTATGATCGATAAATCATATAGTGATGACTAATGATCCAAATTAATTGTTCTGAATCAATCAGTCAGCTACAATGTAAGACCAGACACATATATACATCGGTCCAAGTTGCCACATCGGATTAGCACAACAAGATGAACACTAAATTCATAGAAGTAGTTAATTCAGAGGTGGTAATATATAAAAGAAAGATTGCAATAAGGATATAGTACAGGAAGAAAGAATTAGTTCATAGAAAGAAAGATATAAAGCAATTGTAATCTCACGGTTTAAGGGAAGAGAGAATATATTCACCTACACCACTGTGATCGATTATGAGCCATGTCACCCAGAGTCTCCAACCATTGGTTAGGATAGTCACGCGGACCCCAACCAAGTAGTTTGCATCTGCCAACATGGCTAAGACTAGAAGTTAGTGACTTCGAGGACTGATGCCACGTTTTCGTTTGGCCGCTCAATTCTATTTGTTTGTGAAAACAATTTGTTATTTAAGTTTCATTTTTATTAACAGGACACTTTTTCATGCTTCTTAATATTAATCCTTTTTGTCTAATCTTACCATTTTCATTAATGATTGAATAGTATTCGCAATTAGTAAAATTTTACGAATGTTTCTTGTTTGTAATTCACATTCTGCAAACCAAATTCTAAGTTAATTTTAGTACTAACTAAACTTAAATTGCTATCGTGCTGTGTAGAGCTCATTGCGTATCTTCTATGTACGGGCTTTTACATGAACTCTCGTAGCTGCCTAGTTGGAACGATAGATAATCGTAAACATTTCGGTTAACTAGTAAGTTATCTAATTAAACAGTAACTAATTACTACAATAATCGGTCATCAAGTTGTAGCTAGTGTTTAGTTATCAGTTTTAGTTCAAACATATTAATCAGATTAAAGAAGAATTAGGTTCTGGGAGTGCTGTCGTCTGCCTAAATTTGCCTTATAATAAGTAAATCATATCGTCATATCGACTGGCTTGAATTAGTAGTTAAATTTAAATTTAATCAGTGAAATTTAGTTAGCACTAAAAACTAGATATAACAATGGTCACTACTCATTTAGTTAAATAGTGTGAATAACTTACTCCTTCAATAGGCTTATCAGCCGAAAAATTTGCTTGTTAGTAAAGTATCTCTAGATCTACTAAATATTAGGATAACAGCGAGAATTTAGTTAGATATCAATTCTGTGATTAATAATTAAAGAGTCTTATCAGCTGAGGAATTTTCACTAAACATAAAATCATAATGAAATAATCAATACAAGGGAAATACATTAAGAATCAAATAACTATTTATAACTGAATTACACTAGAAGCTAATGAATGGAATTCTTTTTAAATAATTTAATACAATATTTTTGGTGAAATAGCGTTCCCATCACACTGTGATAACATGATGTGTGTTTGAATCTCATAGAGAGTATCAGTTCTTTGAAAATTATTTTTACTGATGACTATGAAATAACAGAAAACTTTCGCACAAAGGTTCCCTTCCACGAATTTCCAGCCACCGAAAATAATTATTAATCAACTATGATTTTCATTCATTTTCTTTTTTCTGTTGGTGTAATATATGTCCTTACATCTGTTACTCCTCGTAGAGAACAGGTCATCGACCAGGATTCTCCAACCAACTGCGTCCCGGGTTCCCCTTTCCAGTTGTTTTCAGTTGCTACTCATTCTCTTGGTGTCTGCCTCCGATTCTCGACGCTATGTGTTCCTTGGTCTTCCTCTTTTCATGGTGAGAGTAGGCAGCCTTACCTGACACCAGTCATCACTTGGAGTGCATCTGTGACCTGTCCTCCATACAGGAATTTGTAGTGTAGCCGGTCTTATGAATTTCGTATGATGTTAGTTTGCCTTGCTTATTCTTGACTGATCGTTGATATGTTGTCTGATCCTGCTGCTTTCCCAAACCTTTTTGAATGTCATGCTGATCTCTTTAATTGTTGATGGGGAAACAACTTTGGGAAGTTCTGTAGGTGCTACTTTGATGTTCAGTGGGGTTGGTGTATCCAAAATTCTGTAAAATGTCCGGCCTACCTGTTACTCTGCTCTTGAATCTTAGTGATTGGTTTGCCTTGTTTGTTCTTGACTGATCGCTCTGGTTTACCATATTTCTTCTTCAGTTTTTTCGTCGTATCATATAGTTGTCTCATATTTCCTTCTATTGCACCTTTTTCCGTTGCCATTGGAGTACATGGCCTGTTATGTACCTTAATGGTGTTCTCGTGGCGTTCGAGTTGCTTGATGTGCTAAGGGAAATAGGGTAGCGCATGACGCTATTGTTGCCTATTAGATGCAAGGCGTGTTATACGCTATGTGCATGTGCTTTTCTCCGTTATTCTTCCTTATGTAATACATCATGGCTTTAAAACTTATAGATTTATGCAATTATGTTTTCAGTTTTTAAGTGATTATGTAATGCACATTTTATTCACACTGTTCTTCAAGTTTATGATGTACTGTGTGTACGTATACCCATTCGAAAAATACATCACTAAACATTTCGGTTTCTTTGTTATACAGAAATACCTTGAAGATTTGCATGAATTACATGAAGCTTGGTTAATTGAACGCCGTTTCGGTCAGCTACCTGCTCCTTTATTAGTGAGTGCTTACATCAATGGTATTATTGTGCTTTAGGTTACATTTACATCTGATATTAATCATTGCTATTTTAGTCATCAAACACATTATGATACAAGGTTTATTTGGATATAAAAACTGATCCATCTGACTAGATGCCTTCTGTCTTGTGGTATGTTGTTTTTCGCCTTAATATTATGAAAATGTAGTCATTGTTTCTTTAAGTTTTGCCAGTAAAATAATAAATAACATAAATATCCGAACTTTATTTCAAAATGATTTTTGTCAGGGACTAGTCTACTACAGTCAAATTCAGTTGTACAGGGAATAAATAGTTAGGAGTTATATATAAGTCAAGAAACCTTTGTCACCTAACTGACCAAGTCAATGCTTATTTATTGATGTCACATTCCGACATAAGCTAATTAGTTGTTTTGTTCTAGTGCAATACCTATCAACAGTGTGCATCCACGACCACCGGGGATCAAACCCATGACCTTCAAATCTCAATGGACGCGTAACATATAGACCTCTGAGGCGGTATGTGATTGCTCTCCCAACAATATCACCAGCACGTACTTCTAAACGAAGTTTATTGCGTTATGTTCTGTTGAGTTTGGAGACCACCGTCTAGTATTGCGTACCAAGTCACCAATATGGATCTTATTTCTATTTTTTGTGCATCTCTTATCTGTAATTTCCTCCGTAACCTAGTGTCATTGTATTGACCGGTTACACGCCTCACCAGTACCGTTGATTCTGAGCCAGTGCAGTTAAGTTCTTATTTTTCCACTATTCTCTAGCTTCTCTCCATACCTCACCTTGAATCTAAGATGTCAGCATCCAAATTCGACTACAATTATCTTTCAAACATACGTGGATTTATATGAAAATATACTGAACCGCGTGATACCATGAAGTGGAACATGCAAATTACACGTAAACGAACCAATATGGGCTGTGAATGGGGCGAAATGTAATTAGATAGACTGACAAATCAGGGAGACTAAGTCGTATAAAAATAGTTTAACCGAAGGCCTGTGATAAATGGAATGTATATACATAGTAACCAATCTATGTAATTATACAATAATAATATTCATAGTATTGATAATCCCTTAATTAGATCTTGGCGTTAACATTCCTTTTCATAAATCACATTTTGAATTAACTGATTATTAAACTGTTTAACTCGTGATATTTTGTCGTTGGTGACCAAGCAACTCAGAAGTAGTGCTCACAAACATGCTTCATACCTCATTCCATTGATTCGTTTCGATTAGTTTATTCTCAGTCTTTTTTAATCATATGATTGCCGCGATAAAATGTGATTTCTGTATTTTAATATAGGTATTCGACTGTAATGCACCATTGCCTGAACTTTTATCAACCTATCGATCGCATAGAGAACAAGTTATGTGCGGCGTTGAGGCATGATTATAGGAGTTTTATACCGTTAAAAACGAGCTATTAGATTTCTGTTATTTGTATTTCGCTCTTTTATTCAAGCCTCGGAATTGTGTACAGAATTGCAAGTACTTTTTACATTTCATTTTTACATGTATGTGTGTTTTCAAGTTTTTAACATAACATACTATGTATTATATATGTTCTCAAAATATCTGTAATATATGCTTTCTCCATGCAATTTTTCGGTTATCGTCTTTTTATTCTGTGTTATTTCACTTTGAACTTCAAGTAGTTTGCTTTTTTCCATGTTATGTGTGACATGTCTTATGTGATATGATTTTAGATCAATCAAAGGACTTGTGTTAGGTAGGAAATCCGGTGATTACATCCAACTAGGAGAGTTACAATAGAGTAGTTTGATGAAGCAGCCGTACAGTTCTTGTCAGGATAATAACTGAGGCCGACGACAGTATTATTGCGTTGCCACACGTACTGCTGAATCGTGGCGGTTTGTTTAGCTCTTAAGATTTCTGGTTCTGTGATAAGTTTTCACCACTACGTAAAGGGAAGTGCCAACCTAGTGTCTTGTAGGCAATGCTGGACAGAGTTTTTACAAAGGCATACAGCACACAAGACACTACTATAATGAAAGAAGACTTGGTGGGATAGGTAATTTAATGTAAAATTACAGGGTTACTTCGCAAATTGTGAAAAGCCATATATAAAGTACTTCGTTTGCTGATCTCTCACCTACCATCCTTTACATCATGAATCTTCCAATTCACAATTCCTTTTTGTTTTCAGTGCAATCTTCCCAACCTTTCTTTTTATAGGCATTTGACAACCGGTTGGTATTACATACTACTTATGTCTGTCGATGTAAGTACCATACACCACACTGCCATCACATCACAATGGTCTCGGCCTGACATTCCGGTAGACTGTGTTAAAGACATCAACTAGCTGCTTAAAGCAAGACTTGGGGTTTTTTGTACATCTATGACCACTAAAGCAAATTACTTGAACTTCCACCAAGTTAATGTTCGGAATGGCTTTGCGAAAGCGAAAACCGAGGAAGGAAATATCTTGTTTGAGTCACATGCGTCCGTATTATTCTTTTAAGATAAGGTGGTACATCATCACCTTTCAGCCACTAACCAAAAATCTTTATAATTAAAACAAAAGAAGTGGCGAGACCCGTAACTTGTATCTCAAAGAGGTCTTATGGAACGAGCAGCTAATGGTGTTGGTAGGGATACATCCGTCTCAACGCTCACTTATTGTTTTCGAATGCTAATAGGTGTGACCAGCCGTCGGTCCTAGGGAAGGATAATTGTCGACAGATCTAGCGTTCAATATACAAAGGAGTTTTCAAACATCTCAAATTTTACAAGTTCAGATGAAATCTATTTTACCATTGTTATGGGGTCGTTAGTTGATGTAATTCTCAAACCAATAGTATGATATGTAATTAAAGCGGTCAAAATACTCCAAAATTAGAGGGGCGACACTGCTATTTCTGATTATGAAGCTAGACTTAAACATCTGGTACTTATCAGTCTGATAGCCATATTAACAGTTATTACATCTAGGAGAAAGGTAATTTATCATGTTACTCTATGTCTCTTAGAAAGTTGAAGGTCTATTTGAAAAACAGTGGTCATCAAGCAGGTCACGAATTTGATAATTAACTTCTCACTGCAAGAGAAAGGGCTACAGTGGATGATATTCAAATAATTGTCTTACACACAGACTGTGATGAAACCTTTTCTAATGAATCTCACCTAAGTTTGTACTGAAAATAAAAGCTTATGAAGGCGGATGTAAAGTTTTCGGTGGAATAATCCACTTTTCATTGTTAGAAAGCAGTGTGTGGAGGTAAGAGATGCCCATTTTTATTGACATATTTGAAGAATAGAGTTCACTAATAGGGATTTCTTGTTGAGCGTCCTGTTTTATGACGTAAAGGAACAGCTAGAGCAGCAGAATGAAATGAGCTATTTTCTATGGACAGCAATTAAATACAGGAAACCATATACACTGCAGTTCTAGCTATCTTAATGATGCGTTTCCATGAAACAATTGATTTCTTTGCATTTGCTTATTCTTGTTTCTCTATTAATGCAAGTTTCCAATAATGTACAATAAGTAGTGATCCAGTCACCCGACTGTACTAATTCTAGTCAGTTTTTTAGTTAATTGTCGGCTTCTTTATCTAATAATCTGAATGAGTTCGTCCCCAGTCAGTAGCTTTCATGAATATTAACAGTGTAGCGGTAGATAAATCCCCAAAATAAAGAGCCCTGTAAGTTTTCGACATTGGATGTTGACTATATGTTTTAGTGGACTCATCTAGGTGAAGGCGCTCGGTCAGGCATCCGCACCAAATCACGTGTGTTAACGCCGTGCTCAACATCTACCGCAATCACCAGCCAGGTTAGATCAGAGAATTCCGATATATTGGTAGTCGCCAAATACACTCTTCCGATCTCCTCGAGTCTGTCTTTTGATTTCTCTCGGTGGGTACATACTATATTAGAAGGTGTTACTGGTAAAAGCCTCGTCAAACACTGAATACTTGCGTCATCTTCAACAACTATCACTTCACCAGGTAATAGGTTGGATAGTTGCAAGGAAAAAAATTAAGAAAACATTCAGATGCTGAGCGATGGATGTTTCAGGAAACATCAAGAAAATAATTTAAATACATGGTAATGAAGACTATGTGAGAAAACCAGGGTGCGAGAATGAAAGGTTATCCGAGATGCCGACAGACGGTATAAGAACGAGTGATGATATTTGATGATCTGTTAATAGCAGACCCATATCACCATCTTTCGTTGTTCCGTGAAGACACTTATCACGGAGAAAGTAATCTGTTTTATTCTATTCTGTTTCTCGAGATGAGGTCATTGAAAAAGTTTCAAATTTGAATGTAAAATGGTTGTTTTGTGTTCATTATTTTAACAAAACTGAATTTCCTCGGACGTTTTTTGAATCACTTTCCCAGCTGCCTAAATTTTAGGATCGTCCGCATGGATGAGGATTTATGGGTCGCTTTCTGGAATGTCACAGAAGAATATCAAGAATGTCAAGCTGTTAACCTTAGCCTGAGTCATGAACAGCGTCTTATGTTTTCACACAATGACTAACTCGAAATGACAGTGCCTGATGCATATATCATAGCCTATCCATCTATCTGTTATTATCGCATATCCTCAGTCATTCTTATACCGCCTGTCAGCATCTCGGATAACCTTTCATTCTCGCACCCTGGTTTTCTCACACAGTCTTCATTACCATGTATTTAAATTATTTTCTTGATGTTTCCTGAAACATCCATCGCTCAGCATCTGAATGTTTTCTTAATTTTTTTCCTTGAAACTATCCAACCTTTTACCCGGTAAAGTGTTAGCTGTTAATATTCATAAAAGCTACTGTCTGAGGACGAATTCATCTACTCAGATCGCAAAATATTCAAAACCACCAATAAATAAGCGAATTAAAAATAATTATTCGTTTCATGTAAGCTCATACGAAAATATTGGATATTGAAAGTCGTTAGTTGTATGAATTATCTACAGCTATAACTTGTTTGACCTTGGAGCTGTGGATTTTCCGAAATCTGTCAACAAATGTATAAATTGCTTGGACGAGGGTTCCAAGATCTCCCAACATTTATAGGACCAAATGGCGAAATAACACTAAATATCGCTAGATCTGGTATAGAATCCATTGACACATTGCCAGTTAATATCAATGTTTTAATCCTGGATCATAACTATATTCGTCGCTTGGAGAACTTATCAACTTTGTGTGATTTGCAACAAGTATGAGTTATATTAGACTTGATCTGTTTCAGCTCTCAGTAGCAGACAACAAGTTACTTCAGATGCATGGGGTAGCGGGGCTAATAAACTTAACAATTCTAAATTTACCTAATAACGGTATCGTTACAATGGATGGTATTTTGATAACTTTTGTTATTGTGAATTTTAATTACCTTAAGGTTTAGCCAAGCTAACTAACTTGCGGTGGCTTAATCTATCAGGAAACAAACTTAAGGTGATTTGAGTATGTGGTAGTTGAGAATACTTTAGGTTATTGAACAGCTGGACACTAATCTGAACTTAAAACATCTGGATTTATCTGACAATTATATTTACGAACTTCAAAATTTATCTCACTTGAAAAAATTGAAGGTATATTTCGGTACAATATATAACATTACCAGACTCTCCTTTTACATTGCAACCACATTAGCACTCTACATGATGGATCGAAAAATTTACCAAAATCACTTGAGATACTGTCTCTAGCCAGTAATATGGTCTCCAATATTCTGGAAGTAAGATTGTATTCTAATCACGACTTTGAAGGTTCAAGAGTTGTCGTGCTTGCCGATGCTTTCTCAGTTTTCTTTAGGAAATAATCCGTGCATCGAATCATTGTATCCTTTTTATCTTATTCATTGAGATTTACTTTAACTTTTTTTAACAGTTTTACCTTAACATTAATTTTTTAGTGCAAACAACTATAGATTATTTGTCTTGGGCTGGTTGTCAAATTTACGTATTCTCGATGGGACTCGGATAACAAAAGAAGACATGTATGTTGGTTTACTTGTACGGTGTGGTTCGTGTTTTAAATACAAACAGTTCAAATTTTCAGAATTTTTTTAGTTGGTTTCCGTTCATAGAAATGACTAGTTCCCATTATGATCGTACTAATGTCATAGAATTTTTATTTTCTGAAATTACTGACTAAAATTCTGTAAGCTCTCTTGTTTCCACAAGTATTCATTTTTCACTGGTTATCTTGCTTGACTGTTATACGCAGGTTAAACTCTACGGTATCATCACAGATAGATGTTTTGTTACCAATATTTTCGTATCGTATGGTTTCAATGGTTATGTTATCAGATAACCAGAGCGAGAGCATCGGACTTAGTACCATTTACCATATGGTAAAGTCACATCTTAATGAAGGTTCGTGTGATTATTTCTTGAAGCATTGTTGTCCATATTTTTTCTATGGCGTCAGGTTTTTAAACTTGGATGCTGGTCATTGGTTAAGTCATTAGTTCTGTCGAGATTGTCTACTATTTTCGCTAATTTTTGAGCTTAATAAATTATTGTATTGTAACACCAGATAATTCTACTTAAAACATTTTAAAGTAAACGTTAGTATTACTGTTTTACTTCCTGGTTTGCGCACGTATGTTAATCGAAATATAACACGACGTCACTCTATCCTCCAGTTATTTTCATTATCTCTGTATTTTTTGTGTTCTGGTTGCCTTCAATTCACTCACTATCTACTAGTTTTCTGCCGGGACAAAAGGAAATTTGACTTAGACTCTAGAACCTGAATTTTGTGTATGAAGTAATAAGGTCATTCGATAAATATGGATATTGTAGTAAGAAGACGAATATTATCAGAACTATATGACATATTAGCGCAATACATTTTGAACAATCTGATCACATTTACTTGTTAGGAACATATTTAGGTAATAAATAAATGGTCTTCTAAACAAATGGAAGGTAGGAGGAAACAAAGATAATAATCAAGAAATTAATGTCAAACTCACCACGCTACATAAGAAAATAATATTTCCGTGGTAGATTTAGATTGAGAAAAAACTTTTCAAATGCATAAGATGAGTTTGAATTTTCGTATGACCGAAGCTTTGATAAACCCAAGTATTCACCCTTGAACACTCTTGTGCAACACCACTAAAGCTGAGTTAAGATCGGTCATGTGACCTGTTTCACTATGCGTTTAGCTATAGAAGACGATAGATGTTCACCACCTCATCTTATTAGGTTGTTTGATTTCATTGGTTTTTGCAGTCTTTTGAGTATATGTTCAGAAACCCTAATTCGCAAATCACGAATACTCGTCCCTATGTATGTTTGACCACATACATGTAAATTGCTTATAAGAGTGGGATAATATGCCGTTAATATTTTCATTGAGTCATAGACCTTTTTTCCAAAATAATGATTCTTACTGCAAAGCACGTTTTTCTAATAATTGATTTGAGCCTTTGTTTCAACACAAGACCATTCGACTAACCTCTGAATGGTAGAGTGATGAAGACATTCTATTTTCTTGCCAAAAGTGTAGTAGGTGAATAACGATAAAACTACAAAGGAAAAACTCTACTAAACAAATGAGTGTAAATATAAAATAAAACTAAGTAATACTGATATATATATATATATATATATATATATATATATATATATATATATATATATATGACATCAGCTTGCGCTTTACCATCATCCTATCATAAACTTACCTAAGTACGCGTATTACACCTCGTTGGGGCATAGGCCGCCGATCAGGAATCTCCTACCAACTGCGTTCTGGGCTCTCTTTTCCAGGTGTTTTGAATTGCTAATCATTCTTTTGATGTCTGCCTCCAATTCCCAATGAACATTCCATGTACCTAAATTAATTGTTGCGCTGGTTGTTATTAACGGGTATCGGCCTCGTGACTTCCGAAGAATTTCGGCCTTCACCATGAGGCGACATAAATCTTCTAAATGAAGACCCTTCAACTTCCGGGACAGTGTTTAAATGGTTCAATTGTTTTCTAGTTAGTGTTTTTTAGAAAAGTTGTTTTCTGCAAGATGGGGTTAATGACTCCATGCTCAACCCTCCTCGTTTACCTTGGAATAAAAACGTCAGTAACACTAGAAGGGTTACAGTTGGAGAAGTAAACAGCTCGCAAATACATGCTTTATTATCTAAAATTTTCTTAAATCCGTTTGTTAACTTAACTGACACTACATCAGCTAACTGTACGAACTTATAGTGTAATCGATCGGTAAACATTACTGCGACTTAAGTGAATGAAAACATATTTTTTGATCTGATGGATTAGGAAACTCAAATTTAACTAGCTGTCATTAATGGAACAGAGTTACTTCCTATACGAAGTAATTAGTCAAGAATCCAGATAAAAGTCGTAAAGTGATCAACAACTCTTACTTACTGCCTAATACGAAAATATGTCGTTTATTAGCACCTTAGCTCTCCCGCTTCATTTTCAATAGTTCTACTGTTTTTCTATGCTGCGTTGGTAGGTACATACTTCTACTTGTTTGGGGTCCGGGCGATATTCATGATTAAATGTTGTTGACTTTGGATAATATGGCACGAACCCGGTCTTGATGGCCGGATACATCTGTTCTTTGTTTACTTATAGATTTCGAACTTCATTATTAGCCCACAATTTTCACTCTATGAACTCATTCCCTCATCTTCAGCTATATTCTGTGTTCTTAATCATTTCTTACGATTTCTGACATTAGTAACTTCCCTATTTTGGTTATCATCCTATTAATTTCCTCTTGCCATAATGACATGGTATGAGAACTTAAGTCAATTTATATTTACATTAGGTCTTACATTGCATATGACTAGTTTCTAGTGGTTCTTTAGTCAATGCTAGCTTATAATAAAATGTTTTTTTTAGTCTTCTACTGTGCCAGACATATTTCCTCAGGAAAAGTAATTAAATAATTCTAAAATCCACTACAGTTAATCAGGTTTTTCACTGGTGCAAATTTTATATTTCGGTTACATTTCTTTTTAATTAGTCCTACAATTCTTTTGATAGCTTTTTTTAAAAAAATCATCATAATAGTTTGTGTATCTTGGTGCTTATTTTCCTTTTTTTAGTGAGAAAGCTAATTGCTTCATATCCGGAATAAAGTCTCCCTTGTTTATACAATCCTTGTCTCAAAGTGAACGCAGCAAATTCAATGAAGATACTGATAAGGGTATTGTTAACAGAAATGTTAGTGTAAATATATTTATGCATGGATAAATGAGTTCACTATATGCAGTATTTGTCTATACTACCGTATTCAACACTTTGTAGACCTATCATCTAATGATGCGTATTCAACGTTTTAATGATGTACATATTATTCATTGCTGGATAGCGTGAAAGTTAAGCTACACACATCTCTCTCTGATCTTGTTGTCAAAAATCACTTAGTACGGTTAGGTTTGATCCATTTAACTGATAAAATGCTTAACTACCACAGAGATCATGTGACTGCATGGTCTTCTAGCTTACAAAACAGTGTGCATGGTTGTTGAAATTTGTTAGTCAAATAAATATTTTGTATTCTGATGTGCTTTAAATAGAATCGGATTCGATTTCCAACTGTGAGCGTGTAATGATAATTTATAGGTATTAAAGCAATAAAAGGAGCAAGACTATAATTTATGGACGAACCAATCAGATTTAAGATAACAGGTCTTGGATTTTAGTGCAAAATTCATTCATCCATTTAGCTAAATGGCGTTCCGGCATTTTAACTGATTTGAGTTCGTGATGAAAACCCTATACCTAGTTGCTAACTTTAACTATCAACTGTAAATCATAATCTTTATTATTCCTACAGGTCAATAACCCTCATTTAGCTCTAGTAAATAGGTGGACATTCTCAAGGTCACTTTAATGTTGCTCATAGGCCGTCCATAAATTGTAGTCTCACCATGTTGCTCAAAACTGTGTATATAATACTGTTGTCAGATGAATCATATTAGTTCACTTGTTAATAGATCGTGTGTTACCTTAAATGATTACATTATGTAGTTTCAGTAAAACAGTTCAGGAATGAACAATATTGATATTAGATAATTAATAAACATGCGAATCTTGGAACACTAAAACCAAAAGCATTTCAAATGAGTGTAAGAGAATTCATACACCAGATGTGCAAAGGAATTGATATCATTTTTTACATAAAGTCACCGGTTACATCACGTAATGGAATAAGTTAAACCCTTGTTTCTGTTGGAATAATTTAAGTATCCACAAAACTGTTAAAGCAGACATAAGAATTTCACTGTTTTTTTACTATGTAATTTGTTTTCGGTACAGTGATAGTTGTTTACTGATGGGTGAGGGTATCGAAAGGTAGTGGATTTCATCATAGTGTGTGCGATTGTTAAAACAATATAAATACCAAGTATTGACAATCTTGCTTGTAAAACCTTTCATGTTTTTTAGATCTGCCCATAACTAAGCACTTAGGTATTTTAAATGAACACATTGATTCAAGAAGTAAGCTTCTGTTTCTATAAAGTTGATTACTTGATTGCAAGTCCACATCATCTCACAATTTTATAAGCCAGTTTTCCTGTCATAGCACAAGAGATGAGTATAGTCTATGGAAACATGCAATTTACTATGCTGTATATATATATATAATTTATGACATGCTACGAAGTGAAACTTATTACAGAGCTAAAGCAGGTTCACTAGTTTAATTCCAGTACGGCTGTCTTTCGATGAGTTAAACATTGCTCTTCCACTCAATACACTAATATTTTATTGATTCTCACACAATTCAGTAGCAAGATGAAGGAATATTTGGTATCTCAATAGATAACAATGCTCTATTCATATATTATTAACTCAGTATGTAGTCAGGTTACTATATCAGCTGAACTCAATGAATAATACATTATTGATGTGTGCAGGTATTCGTTTTGGGCTAATTTCTCACCCTATCATGGGGCCCCTGAAGACCTTGTGTTTGGTGCATGGTGGTGTAATAGGTGTGCATTGCTGAGTCCCACTTTAGGATGAGTCAGTTGTCTAGTCTTCCTTAGTCTTCAATTACACCCTAAATCATATCAATCCGTGACGAATACTATCGACGAACTAAACCTATATCCACAGAATCCCTTCAAATAAAACACAGTTGGTGCTCTAATAAGACAGCATATCGTTGACAGCCTTAAGTCTTATAAGTTGTGTCCGTTTGTTGATATTTCTAAGGTAATGCCTCGATATTGTTTGAAACTCTACGGGGGTATAGCATAAAACAGTTAAACGTATTATCCGTTGTAAAAGTCAATGGCTCTCTGTACCTTATTGGAAAACGCGTTGATGATGATAAATATAGATACTGCGTTCGACTTTCAATGTATCGCGTCAACACTGGAATGCAGATATATCCGGGTGATGAGTCTGAAAGAGGATTAGACATATATTTTTATTTTCTTCCAAGCCATTGTACAATTATGTCAAAAAGGTCAAACACTTACAAACCTCACTTCAAAAATATCCTACTTTATTTCATAGAGAAGGTGAAATAATTGTCAGAAATAAGATTTTATCAGTTTTATAGAAACTTCCATTTAATCTCTTTTCATATGTTAATTTATTCTTTTTATTTTGTTCGTTAAATACTGTGAATTATTAAAAGACTATTTTGGTTAGTCACCGGTGATTGTTTTCTTACTGTTAATACATAATTTACATAATACTTTCATCCAATTCAGATAGAGTTAATAACTCATGAAGTTGTCAATCATAATCTTCCAAGAAATCATCATAGTAGATCAATTTCATCATGTACCAGATTCTCAACTGAGCTAAATCAGAATTTTTCCTGTGATGACGTTTCTTCTCATTCTGTTAGTAGTAAGTTGTTGTAATGAATGTTAATTATGAAATTTTGCTATTTTAATAATAAGTCATATATTTGATATACATATTACAAATTGTAATGCTTTTGTTTACCATAAATTAAATGTTATAATGAACTTGATTGAGGTATTTATAAATTTAGTTTCATTTAATCAAGTTTCTACTATCAATTTAAACATATTTAGTTACACTAAATGATCTCTTTGGTATGAGGATCGTTGAAACAATAATCTCAAATATATATCCAACTGATTAAAAATAAGGCATAAATATTTCACTTTTACTGAAGTTGAAGGTAAGAGTATACTTTATGGACGACCTATGAGCAACACTAAAGTGACCTTGAGAATGTCCACCTATTTACTAGAGCTAAATGAGGGTTATTAATCCGTAGGAATAATAAAGATTATGATTTACAGTTGATAGTTAAGGTTAGCAACTAGGTATAGGGTTTTCATCACGAAGTGATATCAGTTAAAATGCCGAAACGCCATTTAGCTAAATGGATGAATGAATTTTGCACTAAAATCCAAGACCTGTTATCTTAAATGTGATTGGTTCATCTCGCCAGGTTAAACGATAATAGTTGATCTTGTAATTAGGGATTTCAAGAAGGTTTAATTACACATGATTAACAAAGCATGAGGATTCTACACTGTTAATATATTTTTAACCTAAGAGAACAATGTCTTGTTCAAATGTCTAGTGTGATTTATGTAAATTTTAAGGATTCTTCAATAGTATGCATTTATGACTTGGGAGTGTCAAATCGACCATGATATAATTCATTTTACTGTGCAGTGATCCCCATACATTGATTTTCAATTTGTGTATGATATTCGATAGAACACGATCATTTTCAAATATCTTGTAATAATTTTCTATCTGATATTGGTTCATGATAAAAATCAGTTTTTTTGGAAAAAGAAACAAAGCAATTAACGTTGAACTTCCAATTTAGTTGTGTAAAACAAATTTTTAGCTGTTCACTCTGAGTAGATAACGCGATGGCGTTTGAAGCAAACGGTACTGAATTCGATTCCTAGAGTGAACATCAATTCTGAGATACAGGTACATCCAGTTAACGAGTCCCAAATGGGACAAAACGCGCGTTTTGGATTTTACTGCTAGCCACTATCCATCTTTGCTTATAAAGCTTGTGACCTAAAGATGCACATATGCCAACAAGATACTGATCACTTGTAGTCCTAAATAACAACCGGAAGATACAAGTGGACAACATCAAGTTAATATAAGTGGTCTTTGTCCTTGATTTATCGTTCAATTTGCTAGTATACAAATTGTTAATAATCATTTGTATAGTTGATGAGTTAAATGATCGAAAAAAATCATGAAGACTTTCTTATAAAATTATTAATAGGGACTAAGAATTAGGCTTAACAGTTAGGTGTTTTAATTTGTTGAATAGTGATTGAATGATGACCTACACAAATCTGATTTCATTTAATCGCTTATGAAATCTAATCTTGTTCATTTATTTCTGTTAATAATTTGTATATAAATATGCATACTGTTTTATTAGATGTAAAAAGCCAACAACAACGATAACCTCTTCTTCTCGTTAGTGATTTTGTCTTGAATATCAATTAATAATTGGGTCTCTTGAATAGACATCAATCAATCAGATCGTATCATTGTTTTGTTCATTTATCGATTAGCAATTAATTCATTCATTTCAATCATCTAAATACCCATTCACCGTTTATCCTATTAATCTAAACTTATTACATGATGGAACAACAAAATAAATGGTAAAATTCATAATATAATTGTGCAACATGTTGTTTATTATGTAATGAAAGATAAACTAAGAATTATTGATTTGCAGTTGAAAAGATTACAATGAGGTACTAATGATAATACTGATAATGATAAACGGTTTATAGTCATAGGTTATATTGTGAAATATTACCATAACTGATCACCAAATCAATAAATTCGCTTTCAAATCACAACCAATGCTAACAAAGAAAATACTGTCATAGTTCAGCTGAAGAGTTTTTTATGGAGCTTTGTTCATCAAAGGTAGCACTGTTATTCTCAGTGGAATTATATAATCGTAGCACTATATCATAAAGTGATTGAAGTTAAAATTGTACCACTGAACTCCGATCAAGTGATTCTAATGGTTGATCATTCGCTGTGGGTTTGATCCTTGCTAGGGTCATGAAGAGAAACTTATGAGTAGTCCCAAACTTAGACGAAATACCTGTCCACTGTTCTTTAGTTTTCAATAATCCGCCAACTGAGAATTATCTTTGATGAATATAATCTGCGAATTAAGCCAATCATCTTAAATAAAGTACCTAACAGAACTGCTTTTATCTTAGGAATGGTCGATAGTTTAAGAGATAACCAACCAAGAGTTCATCGTATGTTATGTAGATAAAAAAACTCCACATCAAGACAATAAGAAGATTAAATTGTTTTATCAAATAACCATTACCAACTTACAACATCTCAAATAAATTATCCAAAAATAAACAATCAGAAATTGATATCGTGATACAAAATTAGTTAAAAAAAGATCTGGATTGGTTGAAGTTAGACATTAGCACCATTAAATGCCAGCTCAGTGGTATAGAGGTTAAGCGTTAGCACACGAGATCGAAGATTTTGGGTTTGATTCCCGTATGCGGGGTCGTGGATGATTTTAATGAGAGATTTTAACCTTTAGATTACTTAATATGGAAACAAAGCAACCATCTATTATTTATTAACTTCAATAGAAAATGAACTTAGAGTAAATAATCTACGTGTCTTAACACAAGTCTAGGCATAAAAAAAGCCAGAATATTTAACAAACGTTGATTAATATGTACTTTATTGGGATTAGGACTTGAACACAATCTATGACTTCTACTAACTAATCTTAGTGGTCATGTATTTTTATTTGTCCATCAAGAAAATAATCCACTATAATCAATGACATACATCTCGTGTTTTCGTTGTAATAAGAGTTCAAATTACAATTCTATAGTAATGTGTTATTATATCCGTTCTTCACAGTGGTTAATAATATTGGCACATACTTTGTATGTTCACCTTCTCAGTGAAAAAAAAACGTTTGTTTCTTAGGTATTTCAAGTAAACCCTGTTCTGGAGAACTAACGTCCGCAATGAATAATGTAAGTTATAGTTTGTATTTATTGTTGATTTTCGCCAGTATGTAAATAAGTAGTGAATGAGAACATAAGTGTGGACAACCAAATGCATCAAAGTACAAAATTACAGAATGCCTTAGTAAAATCTGAGAACCATACAGTAAATGCTTCATTTGTAAAGTGTCTACTAATTGTCTCAGATTTTATTGTTCCCTCACTTCCATACCAATCACTCTCTGTTCTCGTTCTCTCCTATTTGATCTTCTCAACCTTCTGCTGCCAAGTATTCCACTTTCGATTGATAATATATACTACTTATATCTGTCGACATCAGCAACACACACTATAATTATTTTATCGGTTGACAAAGTTAAATACATTAACATTTTCTTTGTTATGGGATTTATTTTCAAACCACAGGTAAGTTATCGTTAACTTCATTAAAGAAGCATTAAGTTTGTCCTGACATTCAACCAATACTTTTGTATGAAGTGGCACGATTTCGAACAATAAAACTATTCAATTTATCCTTAAGATTTTCCTATTTATGGAATTCCTAAAAGATAGATAGCTATACAACATTTGTAACTCAAATAAGAGTTTTCCTTATATCCAGTATGTTGAAGGTATTTCATCTGATTAAGATTTAGATAGACAGACGGGAATTACATTAAAAAATCGCTGAATTTTAATTTTGTTGATTTATTTTAGCAGTGTTCTTTGTTATCGTTGATTCAATACTCATCGAGTAACAGCTGAAAATGTTGTTGTCCAGATAAATCACTTCATACTAATTACTGATTCTTTTAAAAGATTCATCTTATATGGGAAAGATTATCGTAGATCATGTCTAGTGAATATAAACTGTTAACTAATTCAGATAAGTTATTTTGCCTTATCTACTTATGGTTTTCTTTACTAAAATTCCACTATTTTGTTTTAGTCTTGTTCAAATGAAGATCGTAATCATGTGTTTCAATCGTTTTCACCATCTGTTATTACAACTACTAATTCTACTCCAAGCAATTACCCACCCAATAATAATTCTATGATTTCATCTATTCTAAATAATGGTAATATTCATTTAAATCAAATTAAATGCAATGATAAAAGTACCTGTACAGAAGGTGTCAATATGTCTAGTTTATCCTACTCATCAAGTCTTGCTAATCCGAAATTAAGTATCAATAATAATAATGATAATAATAAAAGTCTGTTTATTGCACACGAAACATCATCGTACTCTATGACTAACCCTCAACCATTATTAAAAATATCGACTAATTCACCTCGACAAGTTCTGTCTGAAATCAAGGAAGGATTGTTCAAAACGAAATTAATTGATGAAAAATGTGGAATGAATTCATATTGTAATGATCAACTTATTACATCATCTAATAATCTGTTATCGTCGGATTCAGTTTATTTACCTTTATCAAATACCACCAATAACATAGAGGAAACATTCGAAACAGAATATAAGGCGAAAAGTCATTCAAATGCAGTTCATTGCACGATAAGTGATGTCAACAACTGGCAAAGTATTGATAAGAGGTCATTGAAATTATCACCTAGTGATAGTTTATTATCTTCTGGGAATTTCATTCCTTTACACCAGTGAGTATTTTAATTTTCGTTCAATATTTAAGAAGGGATCGAGTGTACTTGTTTGTGTATTTGTGTCAAATCGCTCAATCAGTCAGTCAGTCTGGGACATTTGTATATTTTAGCCCGTTTCCATGGTACACTAGGATGACAAAATGAAGTCTACGTGTAGCCAAAAAGATCTGAATAATGTCGTAGCAATGAAAATGGAAAAAAACATACTGGAGAAGGTCCGAGAAGATAGAGTGGAAGGATGTATATGAAAATACTAAATTTAAAGATTGATAGGAAGGTAAAGAGTAAGTGCATCTACGTCATCACGAATTGATTTTGGGACATATCACCAGTCTCCAACCGCTGATTGTGGTTATCATGAGGACACCAACCAGGTACTTTGAATCTACCAACATGTCACATCACATCAGTACTAAATTTTTATTTATCCCATAGATCTAATCCGGGAATTGATACCAATAGTTGTGTGCCTAAAATATGGTTCAATTTGTCGGATTGAATTAGTGAATAATCAAATCTAAAATTTTTGTTGATCGATTCAACTTGCAAACATCGGTTATTTGTTTAATTTTTGGTTTTTGCATGTTGTATTCTGTTCCCTCATCTTCTGACTATTGTACATTGATCAGTTTTTGAACGATGACCAATGATATGCTTGTTTGCTCGTTGTTGCTGGTCGAATTCTATCTATCTGTTTACAATGTGACCACTAGTTTAAATGACTCACTATCACCTGCACTTCCCACAGGTCATTCACAGCTCAAATAATTCAGTGATAACGTCTCAAACTATGTAGTTAAGTGATTAAGGTTCAAAAACATCATTCTCCTCAAGACCATAGGCAAACCTTGCTGATGAGTCCTACTAGGATTAATCCCAGGCCCAAGGTTTCTTACTGATTACGTCCGAATATCTAATGTCCCATAGCTTTATTGATGAGATTTGTTTTAACTTAACCAATCAAGTTCTAATTATTCTTCACTTTTTACTAGCTGCGTAAAATCGATGTGAATAAACCACTGAATAGATGTGCTCGTTAGCAATGTTACTCGGATGCTGGAATGAAAATTATTTGGAAAGCAAACGGATTCTAACTTTGACCATTAGTATATCCATTGAATGCTTACCAATCCTCAGGTATTTAATCCTGAATTATTACTTAGCGATATCTAACTAAATTATATTTTAGATTCCAACTACATGTTCAAAGTTTTTCTTTATTTTTTTCTTCAGATCAATGTGTCTTCAATCATCAAAATTGTCACATTCATTAAAAAATTCTTTACATAGCATAAATTCTAATGAAAATATAAAATTTGAAACATTAGGTTTAATAAATGGTGTACACTTAATTCATGATGGTGAAGAAAACGAAGAAGGTGATAATAATAATGATATCAATGAAGAGGAAGATGATGTCATAACAGAAACAACAGTTCAAAGTAGTAGATTCACTGAACACATAGATAAACCAAACAATGATGAACAATTCAAAGAGGATAATATTATTACCCTTAATAATAATAATAATAACAATAATAATAACAGTAATAATGATGATAATAATATCGAGAATAATGATAATAGTAATAATAATAATATTGATGAAAAAGATATATTAGTTAAAGGAGTCTTGGATGATATGGATTTAACTTGTCTAATTAATTTAAAGCATAAAATTAGCACACAATCTATGAAAGTTCATAATTCAATTACAAAAGATCAAGAAAATGAAATTTTTGATAATAACATTAAACAGTGAGTTTCTTGTTGTTAATATTTTATTGGTTTTATTCGAATTAATTAATTAATTTCAATAGTTGAGATAATGAGTCAATTGAAGCTAGACCACCATGGAAAACCTAGAAGCACTGGACGGCGGGATCGTGGATGCGCGCTGCTGAGGAGTCCCACAATAGGAGGAAACAGCCGTCCAGTGCTTCCAGGTTTTCCATGGTGGTCTAGCTCCAATTGACTCATGATCTCAACTATTGAAATTACTATAATCACCACAAAACCTCTTCTCATACTAATTAATTGATGTTTTAATACAAAAATCAGAATAATATAATGCAAAGATAAAGATTATCTAATATAAATTAACGCAATATAATCTGATTATACACATATATTTGCTAAGTATAGATAGTTTTATGTATACAATGTTGAATCACACATTAAGTGTAATTACTATTGATTTACTAAATTGTCCATGAAAACTGAATTAATTGATGGGTATGTTTCAGAGAATCCACCTAGGGGATTTGGAGAACTCTGATTTTGAACTATTGGTTCACATGAACTTTATAATCCTGAGGGGAAAATGTTGTGTGAACCTATTGTTGATCACCGGTTATGATGGGACTGCGTCTCCTAACGTTGCTCCACTGCCCCCTATGGATTAGACCTCTACGTTTGTAGGCTCGAGGAGTAGCCTCTTAAGAAATTCATCTGCTTCGGTTTGGGCTCCAGGGCAGTATCACGACCCTCGCATAAATCAAATGATTTTTGTGGTGCATATATATTTAGTGCCTCCTTGTACCAATGTTTATGTGTTTAAATAAACGTGTGATTCAAACCGGCGGATTTTCGGAAGGTAGGAACATTTCTATTGTACAGCTTGTCGATACTTTTCATCGTGTTTCTCATGAACAACTGCGAAATTCTAATAAATATATCTTAAAAATTCACTTACCTGTAAAAATGTTAGTAATGTTTATTGAAGCAGAGATTTCTGTTACATTGCCACTCAAGTATCTGTAACTATTCCATACTTTTCAGGATCTAATGTATCTGTTTCTTCATCAGTTGAAACTTTAAACTGAATATAGACTTGTTTATCATGTCCATTCAGCATTTGTTCAATGAACAAATTAGTAGCTTCAGTCTCAAACATCATAGTTTGTGTTTTTTAGTTAAAATGTATTTTATTTGTTATTTTTCAATTTTAATTGACCAACCATCATTTCGTATGTTTTGACTTTCCCACTTGTTTGTTTGTTGTCATGTTGGCTTTATTTTATTGACATATCATAGTGACCTATGATATTTTGAATTATTAGGATGAATGGGTATGGAGATTGTTGTGTTTTGTAGTTTATACCATGCTTATTTATTTATTTAAACACATAGATATTGGCACATGGGGGTACCAGATACATATGCGCCACACAAATATCATTAGAATTGTGTGGGGGCCGTGATACTGCCCGGGTGCCCAAACCGAAGCAGCTGGTTTTCTTATAGGGGCCACACCCAGAGCCTTAGACCTAAAGGTCTTGATCCACAAGGTAGTTGAGCATCGTAAGGAGATGCAGTCCCATGGTAGCCGGTGACCAACGACTGGTTCATACGCCATTTGTCCCCTCAGGACCCTGTAGCTCATGTGCACCATTGGTTTGGAATGAGGGTTTCCCAACTCCCCTAGGTGGACTCTCTATGTCCACCAACCCGGTCAAAGCGCCGGATATTCGCTTTTCGTCCTCTCAATTTCGTAAACAACACCCCCGCTACGAGAAGGCGATGAGTAGGACTTCCCTGGCAGAGGCTATATACGCGTGGCCATGTGAGAGCATTTCGAGAGGAAGAGCGGACTCTCCCAACTCTCGGCCGTACCAGGGCATTTGGGGGCTGATCTGATCTTAGTTAGACAACCACCGAAAGTCAGGGATTATTGTTTTGTCGTAGCTGTGAATCTGCTCTATTAAGGAGTTCCGAACTGGAATAAAACATTTTTCCAGTGATTTTCAGTTGTTTTGTAGCCTCTAGTACTATGTCAGGTCCACATGGGTTATTCTAGTTTCCTGACAGATCAATTGATTTTTATTCCTCTTGAGTCACATTTTGACCTTGTTAATTATTCGTTTATTAACCTTGACTTTTTTTAATGTGATTACATGTGTGTTCATCCTTTATCCTATTCATCTACATGTCTGTAACTTATTTTGTTTGGGTACACATATTAAGTCACGGGTATGGTATATTTGCTTTCCACAATCTGCTTCTCCGTTTCCTTTCTTTGATTATCTATCTGAATCGATTAGTGTATGAAAAATACGTATCCAAAATCCATTGTCATATTTCACTTATTCTGTTATTCTCTAGCGCAAATTAGGTTAATAGTTAAATATGAGGGTAGGGAGAATCTCTATTAGATTACCATCATCATACGATCGAATCAGTCAGATCAACGGGTTTCAAAAATGTAACCAAATCCAGTCGCTATTGTAAACTTTGAATTATGCTTGGGATTTTTTACGGGCTGGTATATTTAAATATTTGGTTATCTTATCGTTGAGATTTCCATACTTCTGATATTTTCCTATTAATAATGTTATTTTTAAATAAATCGAATAATTTTTTTAATATTGACAAATGAAATAACGATGGGATTAGATTTTGGCTTCCACTTCAAGCAGTTCTAAATACATTATTCATTTTCGTATATTTACGTATTAACCAATATGAACACAGGTAGCTGTGTTTATAAGCCATTTGATCTATCGTTTCCAACCATTGATTCTGATAATCACAAAGACCCCCTAATCCAAGTATTCTCTATCTACAAATAGGATTGAATTCAATCTTTAATAATTTCCACTTTATTTTTTAATTTTTATACTTTAATAGACAGTCGGTACAATCGGCTGAAGTGAATGAAGATTCGAAATTAGCCGTTAACACTGACATTAATGATGATAATCATGTAGAATCGAATTCAGTAGCAGCCAGTAGGTTTCATTTTGTAAATATTTTGTTTAAAATATAGTTTATATTGTTTAACTTAGTAATAAGTTTGATGAAGGTAACTTATTCTTACTATTTAACTTGTTTTATTAAACTCACTTCTAAGAATTTCCATACTCAGTCAGTTGTAACTAATGTAGAGTCTGCTAAATATGTGTATTGGCCCAATTCACCACATTCCATTAATAGAACAAGTCGAAATTAACAAGATGAAGATCACAGTGGGTGTGTACACTCTTTCTCTTCCTTTAAACCGTAAGATTACAATTGCTTTATATCTTTCTTTCTACGAACTAATTCTTTCTCCCTATATTATATCCTTATACACAATCTTTTATACATTACTACCATTGAAGTGACTACTTCTATGAATTTGGTGTTCATCTTGTGCTAATACGCTGTGGCAACTTGGACCGATGCATATATGTGACTGATCCTACGTTGACTGACTGAATTATGTTTTCTTCGAACTGATTGATCACTGAGTAGCAAATAAATAATGTCATATTTGTTTAGTCCTTTCGTACTGATGGGATCCTATCAAAAAAGTTACTATGTAGTCATTAGCTCAATTGACTCAATATCGTGCTCATTATGTTGAGATATTAAGTGATTGGAGGGTTAACCTGCTGTAAATCCCGCTTGAGCTAGGCTTCATGTTGATGGGCACCAGTCAACATGAATAGAACTAACGCAGTCTGTAGGATTTTGAACTTCGATTATCCAGCTTGATAGTCTTAATGACTCACCATTTCATTCACTGCTAGTATCTATGTCAATTGATTACGACTGTCGGGTGAATCACACTTCATTATTTACTAAATTAATTTAGTAAATCCGGCATTCAGCCTGAATCCACATTTGCTATATTAAAGTTTCTGATACTATTCATTTGACATTTAAATTTATGATCTTTTAACTTTTAACCTACAAATATATACTGCTCGCTGCCAGTTAGAAAACAATATGTTTTTATCGCAAATATTTTTCTTATCATCTTATGTAATTAATAAATTACTTTGAATCAACCAGTGATCTCTAAGCCGATTATTTATAATATACAAAATATCATGGAAATGTTGCGTATTGACTGTATATAACCGCTTAAAACCAATTATACTCTAATCATCGGTATTAAAACAAAGTATTTATCTAAATACAATTTGTCCGTCTCAAATCTAACTTTCCACACATTTAGGAGTAGAACACCATAAACCAGTGTAAATATCTATTAGTAGTAGAATCATTGTTTTCCTTTCAATCAATCACATCAAGTTTCGATGATTACATATGTATACGGTGATAAGTATATTGTACTGACGGGCCTAAAGTAACCAATTAGAACTAAGATAGCTCCTCGTGGATTTTCGTGAGAAATTGAAAGTGCATTACAAACTAGCTCATATGTTATGATTAACGAAGTGAAAATGGCAATATTTTGTTCCTTAAATGCGTGAAATCAATGGAAATATTTATCACTCAAACAAGCAGTGGCTATGATATGGTATTTAGATTAAGTTACCCTATTATACATAATCCATTGTTAATTTCTGATTTTCCATCTCATTACAAATTTTATAAAAAATATCATTATATTGTATACAATATAAACTATTCTTTTTGTACAGCTGATCGTTATAACGTAACAACTACTGTGTTAGATAATGCATTGATTAATCCAATTAACAAATTTAGTCACAATTCTAACCCAATAACATTATCTTCAACATCTTCCATGACAACATCATTATCTAATTACTGTCCAGCATGTGGTAATCAAACTAAACTATTACAAGATCATGTTATATTTTTACAAAAACAATTACAAACTCAATGTAAATCCAATGAAGCTGAATCTAAACTGAATCAATTACATTCGAATTCTATTCAGTTTTTACTAAAAGAAGTGAGTTAACTTATTTTCTAACATTTTAAAAAATCTTATTATTGATGTATTTAAAGGTAGATAATTCAGTAATGTCACGGAAAATCTTATATAAAAGCTAAAAATAACCGACTTTATACTTAGAAAAACTTGGAGCTATTGATAATTTCAGCTGAAAACAAGGCCTTCTAGTGCCCTGATACAGTTGCAGGTGAGGAGAGCTCAATCTCCCTAGTGAAATGTTTTCTTATGTTCACTTTCCTGCCAGGGAAATAGTTTTTATTACCTTCATGTTACTGGTTTATTTTATGAATGAGAACAAAAATTGAACTTTTATCGTTTTAACCATTTTGGTGGATTTGGAAGATCCAACTAGAGGAGTTGTAAAACTCTAAGACCAAACCAATGGTGTACATTGAATCCAAGATCCTATGAGAATAAATAGCAATATGAACTTATTTAGATCACCAGGACTTTGTGATATTGTTGCACTGCCTTACTGTTTAAACCTTTAGATCGAAGAAACGGGGATTGGCTTCTCCTATCAGAATACTACCTGCTTCGGTCTTGGTTGTCAAACAATATCTTAGCTCACACAAAATTATTATAATGATTTATCATTGAAAATAACTTCATTCGCTCCGCATCTCTGTTCATATGAACAGTATTTGTAAATGAAAACCAGCAAAAAATCATTATTTTAGGATCTTTTCAATACTTACACACACCTGTTACTCCCAATGGAGCGTAGGCCGCCGACCAGCATTCTGTCCTGGGCCTTCCTTTCTAGTTTGATCAAATTGTTGTTCATTCTTCTCATGTCAATCTCCATTTCCCGGCGTAATTTGTTCTTTGGTCTTCCTCTCCTCCTTTGTATAGGCTTGAGCATTCCATGTGAGGGCTTGTCTTGTGACTCAATTTGGTGTTTCTCTCAATGTGTTTCCCATCCACTTCCAACACTTCTTCCTCATTTCTTCTTCCACTGGGATCTGGTTTGTTCTTTCCCAAAATAGGTTGTTGCTAATAGTGTCCGGCCAACGGATCCGAAGTATTTTGCGTAGACAACTGTTAATAAACACTTGTATCTTCTGGATGATGGCTTTCGTAGTTCTCCAGGTTTCCGCCCCATACAGTAGAACTGTCTTGACATTTGTATTGAAAATCCTGACCTTGGTGTTGGTTGACAGTTGTTTTGAGTTCCAGATGTTCTTCAGTTGTAAATATGCTGCTCTTGCTTTACCGATCCGCGCTTTCACATCTGCATCAGATCCACCATGTTCATCAATGGTGCTTCCCAAATATGTAAATGTTTTTACATCTTCCAAATCTTCTCCGTCAATTGTGATTGGATTGGTGCATTCTGTGTTGTATCGGAGAATCCTGCTTTTCCCTTTGTGTATATTGAGACCTATTGCTGCTGCCACACTGTTCGTATTCTCCTGAATTTGTTGTTGCGTTTGGGATAGAAGGGCCAGATCATCAGCGAAGTCTAGATCATCTAACTGAATCCTAGATATTTTCACTGTGTCCCATGCTTCCCTTCAGATGTTGACGTCTTCATGATCCAGTCGATCACCAGGAGAAAGAGAAAGGGTGAAAGTAAGCAACCTTGCTTGACACCAGTCTTTACTTCGATCGACTTTGTCAACTGTCCTCCATGCGTGATTTTGCAGTAAAATCCATCATATGAACTTTGTATGATATTGACTATCTTCTAAGGCACGCCGTAGTGTCGAAGAAGCTTCCATAGTGTTGTTCTGTCCACTCTATCAAATGCCTTTTCGTAGTCAATGAAGTTGATGTAGAGTGATGAATTCCATTCAATTGATTGTTCCACAATGATCCGTAGAGTTGCGATTTGTTCTGTACACGATCTATCTTTACGGAATCCTGCCAGTTGGTCTCGATGTTGGGCGTCTACGGAGTCCTTCTTCCTGTTTAACAATACCCTGTTGAAGACTTTTCCCGGTATTGAGAGAAGAGTGATGCCCCTGTAGTTATCACAGTTGCTGAGATCGCCTTTCTTCGGTATTTTGATCAGAAGTCCTTCTTTCCAGTCTGTTGGGACTTCTTTCTCATCCCAAATCTTATTGAAGAGAGTGTGGAGTATCCTTGCAGTTACCGCTACGTCTTCTTTTAGTGCCTCTGCTGGAATGTTGTCTGGTCCTACTGCTTTGCCACTCTTGATTTGTCCGATGGCCATTCTGATTTCTTAAATTGTTGGTGGGTCAACACTGATTGGGAGGTCCATGGGTGCTGCTTCGATATTGGGTGGGCTCAGTGGGGCTGGTCGATTCAAGAGTTCTTTGAAGTATTCTACCCACCTGTTTTGTTGCTCTTCAATGTTGGTGATTACCTTGCCTTCCTTGCTTTTCACTGGTCGTTCTGGTTTGCGGCGATTTCCAGAGAGTTTCTTTGTCTTGTCATACAATTGTCTCATGTTTCCTTCTCTTGCAGCCTTTTCCGCCGTCAGTGTTAGATCTTCCACATATTTACGTTTGTCGGCTTTGATGCTCCTCTTCACTTGCTTGTTTACTTCTGTATATTCATCTTGTGCCTTGGCTTTTTCTGCTCTTGTTCCGGCTGGTATTGATTGCTGCCTTCTTGTTCCTCCTTTCTTGAATCTTATCCAGTGTATCAACAGTGATCCATTCCTTGTGATGGTGCTTCTTGAGGCCCAACACCTCATGACATGTTGAAGTGATTACCCCTTCAATCCCTTTCGAGTTGCTCTCCACAGTAGTTCCTTCTTCATTGAATAGATCGTGAAAGGCGTGGAACTTATTGCTGAGGACTATCTTGAATTTGTTGAGTTTGTTAGTATCCTGAAGAAAGGCCGTATTGAACTTTTGTGATACTGTCTGCCCCGTTGTCCAGTGCTTCTTGAGTTTCAATTTCATCTTGGCGACCAGTAAGTGATGATCTGATGCTATATCAGCTCCTCTCTTGGTTCTCACGTCTTCTATAGTCCTCCTGAACGTTTTGTTGATGCAGATATGGTCGATTTGGTTTTACGTAGTGTGATCCGGTGAAGTCCATGTGATTTTGTGAATGCGTTTATGTGGGAATATAGTCCCGCCTATGACCAGTTTAATGAAAGCTTATAGGTTTGTAAACCTCTCACCATTTTCGTTCCTTTCTCCCAGTCCGTGTCATCCCATGATATCTTCATATCCAGTGTTGTCCGTTTCATTTAAATCTCCCATTAGAATGGTCAGGTCCTTTATTGGGCACTTCTCGATGATCGACTGCAGCCTATCGTAGAACTGATTTTTAGCGTCTTCATCGTAGTCGTTGGTAGGCGCATGACCCTCTTTCTTTGTTTCAAAAGAGGCTTTGATGATCCTTGGTCCATAAGATTCCCATCCTATAAGTGCATTTTGTGCTTGTTTGGACAGCATCAATGCAACTCGTTGTGTATGTGGGCCATTTTCTTCTTCACGGCCGGAGTATAACAGAAGCTCTCCTGAAGTTAGTCGTTGTTGTTCAACTTGCATCCAATGTGTTTCACTGATCTCAAACGCCTCTAGGTTGTATCTCCTCATTTCTGCAGCGATTTTGAAGACTCTCCCGATCTCCCACATTGTACGAGCATTCCATGTACTTAAACAAATTGTTGCTCTGGTTGTCAGAAGGGGCATCTGCCTCTAGACTTCCGAAGGAACTTGGCTCTCATCATGAGGCGTCATAACTCTTCTAAATGAAGACCTTCTGACTCTCAGGGCAGCGTTTAAATGGTTTGAATTATTTTTTTCTGGTTAACGTTTTCTTAGCGAGTTAGTTTTCTACGGGATGGGGTCTCTAACCTCATGCCCAACCGTCCTTCTTTACCCGGGCTTGGGACCGCCAGTAGCCCCCGGAAGGGCTCCAGGCAGAGTTCTCATTTTAATAAGTTTCTAAATATTGAAGATCGTTTGTGAATAACTTTTAATTTGGAAAATTGAATTAAGGTTACAGTAAAACTGCATTTACGTTACCACCTTATTATTTGTTCAGGATTCGATTTTCCCAAAGTAGTGAGAATCCATTGTCGGTTAAGAAGTTCAGTATCGCAAACTTTAGTTGCTTAGACCTAACATCATATTATAGCTATAAAATACAAACCAGTTGTGCTTCAAAACCGATTCTAATTGTTTATTTTTATGTGTTTTTGTAAGGATTATAACCTGTCATGAAATCATGAAATGAGATTATTTACTGGTTATATGCTTTATTTTAAGTAGTAGTGTAGAGAATAAAATCTCAGGTGTGGTAAATCAGTTTATTGTTTAATGCAAAATCACACAGTGCCTCTGTAAAATATGAAAATCATACATTAAATAAATAATTGACAAATGTTTTAGTTGTCCTTTAAATACTCCATCATTCTTCTAATTCTCTTGTTATTTCGATTGTTCTTCATTTTTCTGCTTGTTCCTCTTCATTTCAATGTTCTTCTGGTAAGCATCCCACTTCCTATTCCTGCTACATACTACTTATATTTGTCTGTATAGAAAATACACATCACAGTCGAAACACTTAAGCCGATCATGATTTATAAATTGTAGTTTGCGCATTGTAAAAAGTGACAGTTTTTTAACTGAATTACTGATGGTCACAATATAATTGGTTACTTATTATAGGTTCGAATTAAAATGGTTTGTTTGAAACTATTACAGCTTTCCTTATTTTTGTTAAACGAATAAGTAGTCATACCATGTAAAAGAATTTCAAATTCATTATATTAATTTTATAATTTCCCTTACTAAAATCTTTAAAGATCGAATAGGTATTTTCGCATGTCAATTGTATTTTAAATATTTACTGCCTGAAATATAGTTTTATCGATAACATTTCGAATGAACTATATACAATGAATAAACTATACACGATACTATGGGAGATCATGTGTAATATATTGTTGATTCAGGTGAATTAGAATTATGTAGTGAACGTGAATTACTGTTATGTCTTTTATGAACTCAAGACAAATTTACTTACGTATCCCGACAGACTGCAGTAAGATGGAAATGAATAATGTACTTTGTGCATAAAGTGAACTGTAAGATGGTAGTTGGAAGTAGTCCACAGGAACCCTTAAACCTACGTTTCATACTATTTGGCACTCGTCAGGGAGATGTACTTGTAATCTAGTGGAAGGTAATGCTTCCCGGAGGATTTAATCCCTTGTCGCCCAATAATGTTACTACTGAGCTATCCGGGCCGCAAATGATCGCCTGTAGGACTGAGATGTATATACAAATGATTGATCTCTGGTGCGTGATTTAATACACTCGGAAGCATCAGTCCCATCAAGACCACAGATATACCTTGCTGAGGAGTGCCAAATAGCATGAAACCTAAGTTCATTGTTTGCCATCCAATATTTCCAACAACCACCTTGCATCTCAACATAGTGCGCGCGATGTTAAGTCAGTTAGACTAGCGACCATGTTGCAACTCAATCGATAGAATTGGGCCAGCACGAAAAGGGACCCGTCATACCCAATGACTAACCAATGTTCAATGAAGTAAACTGGTCTGCGTAAATATTATGTCGTCATGATTGTTTGAGTATGTTGTTAAATTGTTTTGACATATTTTAGATGGGGGGTTTTCTGACTCCAATGTGATTGGGTCTTTAACGATGTAGACGAAATACAGATCCTACTTACATTGTATATATTCTATCCATAGAACACTGAACTTGAGTGCTTTGAATGTTTATGTTGCAAACATTCGTTTCGGCGAACGGACGGAAAGATGAAATAGCGGAATTCTGATTTTGATTCCGTGCAGAGGTCTTGAATGTAGATCACTGAGAGATTTCAGCGTGAAAAAACAGTTAATAACTAATCACAGATTTAGGGTGTTTCTACAGTGGAAATTTATTTGTGACTCTAAAATCGGCATGCCATCTCTACGTAACCATTTTATTAAATGTAAAAATTAAAACAAACGTATTGCTTTGCCAATAGGTTTCACAGTTTGTCGTTGTTGATATTCAAGATTGCAATTATTCAGTTTTTTTTGCTTTTTGTGTATCCTGAACAAACTGTCTCGATATATTGTTATGCTACAAATTTTTTGTTTGAAGTAAAGATTGGGATGCACGTTTTTCCCTGTTTGATATACCCATTAACTGGATGTACCTATAACTCCATTAATATCTCAAACCCAATATAGTTCTCTTCCAATGCGTAACATGTTATCCAGTGAATCTCCATGGGAACATTAATACTGAAATATATGAAAATTCAGCTGATGAAACTCGACGAAAACGAAACATTCAATATGAATTCCACTACTAATCATTTATCAAATAAACTGAAATGAATTATACACTGATTTTGTATTTTATCGTTATTTATTGTTAACAAGAAAACAAAAAAGAATGAAATTGAAACTTCTTATCATTTTTTAATTTGTTTAGGTTGAAGAATTAAAAGCTTGGAAAGAATCCATTTCACTTAAATTGACAAATTCTACTTATAAATCTATTGAATTTTCTTCTAATTATACTCAAACTGATATACAAGATAATTATTATGACCAAAGAAAAGAACTAATAGTGGAGCATCCATTGAATAATGTCTATCTATTGAATACAAAGAAAAGTGATGATGATAGTAATAAATTAAATTGTGTTCAATTATCTAATAATATGGTTGAACAAAATCATATGGAAAATGATAATGAATTGAAGTATGTTGTTATAAATTGTTCAAACTGTGTTTTTGTTTTCATCTTTGTGTGATAATAATAATAATAATAATAATAATAATAATAATAATAATAATAATAATAATAATAATGGTAATCTGTAATCAATGAAATTAAAACAGATCCGAAAAGGAGACAGATATGTACCTATGCTATATTGGTGTATTATCGCGTAACATTGTAAAATCAACTGTAGAATTTAATTTATCCTACAGATATTCTACAACTCCGTCCGGAGCCCCTTTGGGGCTATTGCTGGTCCCAAGCTTGGATAAAGGAGGACGAGTGGGCATGAGGTTAGCGACCTCATCCTGTAGAAAACTAACTTGCTAAAAAAACACTAACCAGGAAAAAATAATTCAAACCATTTAAACTCCTTAAGGCCAAAGGAGAAGAGGAAGATCAAAGAACACCTTACTCCGAGACATGGAGACAGGCATGAGAAGAATAATGAATAACAGTTGGATAGAACTAGAAAGGAAGACACAGGGCAAGAGTGGGTTGGAGAATGCTGGTCGATGGCCTACGTTCCATTGGGAGTAACAAGAGTTGTGAACGTGATACCGACGTCCCCTCAGAGTCTATGTAAAAGCTTTAGCTAGAACAAGGACAAATTGGATTTAGACTTTATCTGTTTCTAAACTTAATTATGAACAATTTGATTGGTACAATAATTAAAGAAATTAAAGTCATTAAGTGGAACACACAAATATACCAACCAGTATCACTTGTCTTATCGAAATGAATATAAAAAACTATGAGTCATACTAATAATGTCCTTCAATTGACTGGTTACAGGAAATAGGGATAGTCTACTGATTGACATGATAGGCGTTTATACAAGAATTTGATTGGTTGAGCTATGAACATAGTGAATATCACCTTCAATTGGAAATATCATCATTCATATTTTGATTCCATAGTTAAAAAATTATAGTGTTTAGTGCGACTGCTGAAAAGATTTTGAGCCTGATTTTATATGGAATTATGTCTATTTACTATTTACTAGTTTTTTTTAAAAAGTGGATTCAAACAATTGTCTAATATTCATTTATTTGGGAAATATATTAGCATTTGATGTTGTTTTGGGATAAAAATTTCTTAAACCCTTTATCGAATTAAATGATCACTAGAAACGCTTCAAGTAAAATGCTTTGTTTTTTTTTATTAGTTGTTTATTAGAACTGACTGAATATAAAGTTTTCTTTTTTTTGAAAGGGTTAACATTTCAAGATTTGTGGACAGCTAGCGATGGCGCAGGTGCATCCACTCTCTGTGTTCTCCCAAATTCTAATCTTCTGAATTCTTCATGTCCCTTTTTTTCCTCTTTCCAAATTTATTTCACTGGTTTATACTCGTTAAATAACATCTCCAAACCCTAATCTTCCCGATTACTGCTTATACTCTTGCTACCTCTACCACTACGGGATTTGAATCGACAACTGCATCTCTGTGCTAATGTGGCGTGGCAACTCGAACTGATGTACGTACTTACGAAATTCTACGTTGTTACTGACTGACTGACTGACTAAGGGGATAATATTGAAAGATACAACAAATTAGTGTGTAAATAATAATGGATTATCTGTTTTATTAATGGTTTGTAATTGGAATGAATGAAGTTTGTATCAGTGCTTATTCATCTGTTCAAGTGTTAGTTGCTACGATAGAGAATTATGTAGTATAATGCAAATTCTGTGTTGGATATTAGTTTATTTATTGAATTGAGCAGTACATATGGTTTGAGAAATAGTTTAGTGAATCATTTTATTTCTGTGTCATATTGTATTTGGAGATTTGTAATATTATAATGATTTTTGTACATATAGGTTTACCGTTTTTAAGTAGCATTGATGTGTACTACTCAAATATAATAAGTGTATATATTAAACATGTTTCATGGATATCCTCATTAAGTTGCTTTCGAATGACTGAATTGGTCTGAATAGACTATTTTAGATTCTTTTCTTTTCCATATACTTTCACTGTATTTATCTGATATATTACAGTATTATTTGTTTAAGATCTACCATAAATTAAACTTTTCTTAATTAATTGTTAAGTGGTTGATGGTAATCATCTGGAAGCTCTCAACGTAGGTCTCATGTTAGTATCGACTTTAGCTAACAATACATATCTGTAACCCCATATTAATTGATGGTTCCCATATGATTTAAACACTGTTTAGCCAGTGTTACAACCAAAGACATCATCCATGTATTACTCATTTTGTGATTAGCCACATGTAAGGTAAAAATATCCATACTTATTGATGAATGTACATTGATGGTTTCAAAAAATTTATCCTCATAAGTTAAGTTTGACTACTTTGAAAGCTTCAGGGACTAGATAGATACTTTGAGATGATAACTAACAAATATCAAAATGTTGAATCTTGGTTATTATTGTCTAAGCAGTGTTATGTATTTAGGGTGTATAATAGTAATCGTTGTTGTCATGATATTATTATTGTTACTTGCTATATGAGTAACGCAAGTAATAACCTCACACTTTTAGGTGGATCACATGTTAGTAATGTTAAAAGGCGGAGATGTACTTAGTAAGAAACGACTTATTCTATTACGACATATGTTTTGTCGACTAGTATCGATATAGGTAGTGCATAAAACTGTAAGAAAGCTGTTTTTCCTATTACAAAATGAGACGACCTAATATTTTTTAAGAGTTCAGTAGAAAAACTTAATATCACTTAAATTTCCGCCGGATTATTCATATTTGTAGTTGTTGTTTGTGATATTCTTTATGAAGTGTTCTGTTACATTGCATTTTAATAACTAACAAATGCAAAATGGTATCATCATTTTCATATCACTTTACTATTTGTGACGTCTTTTTAGCATTCAGACAGTTGTTTTAAGTTGTTTAGTTTGGTTAATGAGTACTTAATTTTGTAGTGTAACTCAGAAATTGAGCGTGGATTCATGAACTTAGCCTTACGTATATTAACAATACCTGACTGTTTAAACCGAGGTTATTAAAACTTGGCTAAACATTGAGAATTGGTGGCTACTAGTCAAGTGCTTTGACTACTAAAGCGTAGCTCAACCAAATGATTTCTGTTGTATGAAGCCGTGATTATCTATTCAATTTATACTGTTAATGGCTGCTACTGTTATGATTTCCTGCAGTTTGGGGTTGTGGAGTTTTTCGAATTCAATCGAGATCATGTACCCATCAATGTTAAAACATCATTGAAAACCTGGGAGCATCAGACAGCCGTTTCGTCCTAGCATGCGGCGCCTCATTGAGGTGCTCCCACGGCCCCATACGCGGGGTTTAAACACAGGACTTTCGCGAATGCCTAATCTTTAGAATATTGAGCTGGCGTTTATTGGTGTTAACGTCTAACTTCAGCCAATCCCCGATGTTGTGTAATCATCCATTGTCTTTAGTGGTTAACTGCCTCATACCCGAAACGCTTGAACTGCACTGGTCACAGCTTCTCACTAGAACTCCGAGAATTCCCTCTCAAAGCTAGTCACTAGTGAGCACATGATAATTTCCAATTTGGAGTTTTGAAAAATTTCGAATTTCATCGAAATCGTGAATCGATCTTTTTTTTTCACGCAAAACCGATGTTTCTTGGTTCGAGTCCCGCGTGTGGGATCGTGGATGCTTACTGCTAAGGAGTTATGATTTTCTGTAGCTTATAATGGTTCTGAACGAATGGGAGGGTTTTCAATATAGAAACGTCTTCGACACTACGGAGTTCCTGAGAAGATTATCAATATTATCCGGAACTCATACGACGGACTACAGTACAAGGTCGTGCATGGAGGACAGCTGACAGACGCATTCCAAGTAAGGACCGGAGTCAGACAAGGCTGTTTACTCTCTCCCTTCCTCTTTCTTCTGGTGGTCTACTGGATTATGAGGACCTCGACATCTGAGGAAAGACACGGAATACAATGGACAGCTCAGAATCAATTAGACGATTTGGACTTCGCAGATGACCTAGCCCTCCTATCACATACACATGAAAAAATGCAGATAAGTACAGCCAGTGTAGCAGCAGTCTCTGCATCAGTGGGTCTCAGCATACACAAGGAGAAAACCAAGGTCCTCAAATTCAAAACGAAGAACAGCAATCTAATCACTCTTGATGGCGAAACTCTGGAAGATGTAGAATCCTTCACATACCTGGGAAGCATCATCGATGAACAAGGAGGTTGAGATGCAGACGTAAAGTCAAGGATTGGAAAAGCAAGGGCCGCATTCCTTCAGTTGAAGAACATCTGGAACTCAAAACAACTTTCAACCAATATCAAAGTGAGAATCTCCAATACGAACGTCAAGGTAGTTCTACTGTACGGAACTGAAACTTAGAGAACTACAACAACCATCATCAAGAAGGTACAAGTATTTATAAATAGCTGTCTACTCAAGATATTCAACATCCATTGGCCGGATATCATCAGCAACAGCCTTCTCTGAGAGAGAACAAAGCAGCTTCCAGCTGAAGAAGAAATTAGGAAAAGACTATGGAAATGGATAGGACATACACTACGCAAATCGTCAAACTGCATCACGAGACAAGCCCTAACTTGGAATCCTGAAGGAAGGTGGAAAAGAGGAAGGCCAAAAACACATTACATCGGGAAATAAAAGCAGATATGTAAAGGATGAATAACAACTGGAAGGAGCTGGAAAGGATTGCCCAGGACAGGGTTGGATGGCGAATGCTGGTGAGCGGCCTATGTTTTTTCACAAGGAGTAACAGCCGTAAGTAAGTAAGTAAACCAAGTCACATGAATGTAACACTTTCATGAGACAATAATAATATAAAGGAATAATACAATTAGGTTTTACCCAAGTTAAATATCTTGTGCATATATTTAGAATATTAAATGAAAAAAAAGATTATCTATTATCAAAATGTATTTACAATTAGAATTACCCTTATCATTTGTATCAGCACTATTTCATAATGTTTGAAATAATATTAAGAAATGGATATGAATGCTTGAAACAGTATTATTATTATTATTATTATTATTATTATTATTATTATTATTATTATTATTATTATCACTATTATTATTACTATTTACTTCGATAGGAATAATTCAAACAGTCACTTATCAAAAATTATTGTTCAATTTAATGGTACCAAAGAAGAACAAAATGAGAAATTTTCTTATGAATTGAGCAAATTTAATGAATATGAAGAAGATAAAACGTTATCTTCATTTGCTAAAATGTCTAATACAGAACTTTCTAAAATATCAGAACAACATCATACTTTACATTATGATAATAGAAATTTTGATAAGAATGAGAATAATAATGGAATAGTATTAATGAATAATATATTACAACGATCGTCTTATGGTAATACTTCAAAAATATTAGGAACTCACCGAGACATTGAATCGAATACTACTGTCACTGATTCTTATGATCTTGAAGATTTTTCAGATTTGGAACTTGTACGACAAGCTGCTTTACAGGTATAATTTTTGTGTTATTTTTTAGTTGGATAATTAGCTGTGTTGTTATTATATTTTTTATCCTTCCAGAAAGTTTGTCAAAGGTTAAAGTCATATGGAACTCTGTACGTGTAATGAATTTTCCGTACATCACTAACCCCAGGAGTTAATAGCACTTACTCACATTTTGTGCCTATTTTCTAATGTCCCAGTTAAAGTGTAAAAGTAGGCTAAGGCTTTATGAAACGGCTAAGATGTCAATGTCAAACATTTCAGTAGGAGATCTATTAATAAGATCAAATGGTTATTTCTTTGTCTTAGAGTAACTCTGTAATAAGTTAAGTTTGTAAACTTCCATTCCTTGCAAGATGATAGGGGTGAAAAAGATACTATGATTATCTCTAAGTCCTGGGTGTGTGCTTCACGTTTTTCTTACGCCGCTTATTGTAAACGCACCAACTTCCGTACTTGTTTATTATCATACCATTGATGTGCGGCAACAATTTCCTTTTTTTTCCAAATCTCAAATCAAAGTAATCGAAGATTAGGTAATTGGTTAAAATCAACTTGAATATACAGATGAAATTACTTAATGAACTAATTACACTTTTTACCCCTCATGAAGAAGCATAGGCTCCCCATCAGAGTTCTCCATCGAACGTTGTCATGGGCCACGAATTTTGTTGCAAATATTATAGAATTTATAAATTATGGTAATTTACTGTCGCATATTTTAATTATATAATCGCATAATTTGTAAGTTATATCTATGAAAATAATTATCCGATCGTTTGAGAGAGAAAACTCAAGTTCAATAGGCTTATTGTTAGCGGCGTATAAAGCATAACAGTGTTTTAGTCTGCCTGAGGAAATTTTATAGTAATGTTCATAACGTAGTATAAAGTATTATATGATCCAATCCTTTTTTATTCTATATGAGACAGTTTCATTTATGTCTAGAATTGTATTTATAGGATGTTATTAGTTAACACTGAAATGCCTTTTTTAACTAAAAATCTAATGAGACATTTGATCCAAATATTCGTGAATTTAGCTGCGTATATTTGGCAATGTGTTTATATTTATTGTCAGCAAACTTATTTGTGAGGATAGTTTCAGCTAGTATTTCTTGTATGAAACATATAATTATTTAGGTTATATGGATAATGTTCATCCTGAAGTGTATTCTCACTACGCATCAATATCACCATATGTGTTTAATAATTAAAAATGAAGATGTACTCAACAGCTGTCTTGTTCCGGTTTGACAAATTTCGGCAGTGTCTGTACACACACAAAATGTACAACAAAATAGATAAATCAACTTTGGATTTCTTGACAGGTACAAAATCTCTAAACCATTGAAATGCAATCAAATGTTCTACATTCCTATTTAATCTCAAGTTTTAATATTACGCCATTATCATTCCATTGGTGCCATCTGTCGTTTACTTACAATATAATTGAATTAATCGTGGTTTGTCCGAGTTGATGTGAATTATGTAGTCAATCGATCATCATTTATAAAGAAAACTGATTTAATGCAAAGCAGACAGGGTAACTAGTCAGCACTAATGGAGGCTACATACAATAATACACAGTATGTTTGTCACAAAAACAGACGTTCTATAAAAAAAACTTTGGTAGTTTTAGGTGTCGAACTTTCTAGGTTTATTCAAGATCAACCGGTAGAACTGTAGTGAATGAGAACTAAGATGGGGACAAGTAATTTATTGTTTAATGCAAAGGTACCGAGTTATTTCGTAAGATGCCAAAAAGCATAAATTAAATACTTCATTTGCAAATGTTTCGTCAATTGTCCTTTACACGCTTCACGATTCCTCCATTTCTCAATTCCCAAGTTCATTGCTTTTTCCTTCAGTTCAATCTCCTCAACCTTCTTTCAACAGACGTTCAACTTCTGATTGGTATTACATACTACTTATGTCTGTCAAAATAAGCACATAAGTACACTACAGAAGTACATTTTTAAGCCCCGTTACTGCTTATTATATCTGTAACTGTTCATAGTGAAGGTTAAATTTATCTTATATCTTCTTCATGGTAAATTCCATCTCGTTTAACTACAAATAATGATTGTTGCTAGAGGGTATTATGCAGATTGTCGAATTTGAAGTTTCTCATCAGAAACTGATTTTGTTTAGATGATTAGTGAAAACCAGAAGGTACTGGACAGCTGTTTTGTCCTAGTATTCCAATTGTTATATAAATATCACCAATAGTAGCGGATAATGGTTGAACTGGTGTGTCTGGGGACGCTGATCGTTGCCACGAGCTAAGTCTACCAATCAGAATTTCTGGTTACATTTTTTCACCCCGCCTCATCTTTATGAACTATAGCCTAGCTTCCTTATCTTAGAGGAATGATACGTTCTGGCCGACACAACACTGAGCTAACGTAAGCTACACTTCTATTGGTCGCCTATCTGTGGACCTTACTTCATCCCTAGCCTTGAGCCTCAGGAGAAGTCCGTAAACAAGCTTCTGTTGTTAGTATTATTATGTTTCAATCACTCAGTCCAGCCAGCTAGCACATTAGCTATCTCAAACAATTGTTAGATTCTATACGCAAATTGTCAGATCGCAAAATATAGCAAATAACGAGTCATGATTTCATCACTGTTAAGCCATAAGTAGCAGATAACGAAGCAATAAGTACATAATTTCCTATTAGTACTATGTGAATGGTAAAACGCATAATGGTTAATAGGTCCATTAGGTCCACTGGAATTTTACAATAAGGAAAATCTGAAAATACAATAATGCTGTCATATACCGATTGTGTAATAAAACTATCTGTAATGATAATATGAAAAAATGCTTCTGAAAGTTCCAATTTTATTTATACTCGCTTCCTAATAACATCAGAAATATCACGAGTTAATTGGAGTTAGGGATTTGAACTACTGGATCCCAACTCAGTGCTCTGGTTGTTAAGCGATTGCATTAGTGCTTGATGATCGTCAATTCTATCTCTTATAAGTTTGTTGGTGTGCACTGTTGAGATATTTTATGTTAGGACGCAAAAAGTATCCAATCAGTCTTGGTTGTCTAACCGAAGTTACCTTAATAAACCTGATGCTTTTTAAATCCTCTGTTTTTTTTCCTTAAAGGCTATGAATTTAGACTCAACATCAATTGATGCAAGTCTTCATAGTAATTCATCTCTGTCAATTGTAACACCTTCAATTTCATAATCGAATTTGTTCTGTCAAATAGGTTTTCATATCAAATATCATTGTACAGAAACACTATATATATATATTCATACAGGCTTTAATTAATCTAATGTGTACACTATTTATTCTTAATTTTGTTAGCATTTATGAACAACCAAAAATTACTGACGAATTTTGTTATTGTTGTAGGATGTCTCTTACAAAAATATACAATATATGTGTTAATACTATACAGGTTTTCTTCAATTGCTCACAATCTAAAGATAATGGTAATAGTTATTTCTTTTTTGAAAAACTAGTGTAAATACTTAATATCATTTTATTTATTTATTTGAATACATAAACATTGGTAAAATAAGGGCACCAAAATGTGTCACACAAAGTAGTTATCATTAAATTTGTGTGTGGGCGGGATACTCCCTGAGTGCCCAGACAGAAGCCGTTGGTTTTTTTAGGGAGCCACCCCTCGAAACTTTGGCTTCGAGGTCTAATCCACATGTCGACGGAGCAACGTTAGTAGATGCGATCCTATGTTAACTGGTGATCAAGAATAGATTACTATGCCATTTGTTCCTCCAGGATCTCGAAGTCCATGAGTGCAGTTGGTTAGGATAAGGTTTTCCCAAATTCCCTAGGTGGATCCTTCGTACCCACCTTATATCATAGTGTTAGAAAAGCTCTCACCAGTTTACTTTAGTGACAAGGGAGAAAACTAAGTATTGAGATATTTTAAGGGATATTTATATGGTTGAGTGATAATTTGTTAAATAATGTGGACATATTAGGAAAAACGTCTGTTCTTTCCAGTGCTTGGGAACGAGTTACTGGTCAATTCATATAAGTGGACAAGAACAAAGAGGATGAAGTCCGGTAGGTTTGAGAAAAATGTCGGTACTAAATGTTTCATGATTCAAGATCTGGCGATATAATAGATTGGATTGAATACATAATAATAAGTAACAGATTGTGTTTAACAATAAAGTAAGTAGATGTTCTTCCATCTGTTATAGATCATCGATCACTAGACAGCACAACTTAGCCTATGACTATAAGGAATTACGAAGAAGGAATACAACTCGGCACTTACTATTGATCGATATTGGAACTGGAATGGAGAGAATATAGGTGATTTATTCTGACTAACCTAGAAGCAGAATAAATCTGATAAAATTACTCACATTATATAACTGCGTGAATCGAGATCTCAAGTTGAGAAACTTCTAGTTCATCAATCGATCGTCAAAAAACTGGACGTAATTAAACCATTTCTTTTTACTAAAATAGTTGAGCCAAAGCCTACCGACCAGAAGTTTACAACAGGTTATTACTTAACATTTTAAGGTCTCCCGAGGTTACTTTATTTCAGTTCTGTTCGGTAACTTCGAGACTATTAAAACATGTGGATAAATGATTGTCGCACCCCGAGCTCCTAATTTTGGGGAAGTCCCCCAGGATCTTATTACACTTTGGGGAAGTGCGCCTATATTTATTAAGAAAACCCAAAAATTTTTCACAATTTTGGGGAAAAATCCAAAGTTTGGGGATCTCCCCAAACATTGGTGAAGATCATCCGACTTCCGGAGTTTCCCCAAACTTGGGAAATCGGGATAAACCAGGTGACCCACGTCATAATTAACTAGGAATATCCCATTGGTAAAGTTCATGGGGACCAACAATTTATCACTTTAATTTGTTTAGTTATCTAGTTGATATCGCCAAATGATGTAGATTTCGACAAAATCTGACATCAGATTCCAAAAACACTATACCCGTATGCTCTGTACATACCCAATGGATCGTGAATAAATAGTGAAGTGCTTGTAGTGGTAATTTGCCTTAGTTAGGAATTATATATGGGGTTTTCATCATGAATTGACATTAGCTATAATGCCAGAAATTGATTTAGCCAAATAGATGAGAGGCTTTAGCGTTAAAATTCGACATATGTTATCTTATACCTGATTTATTCGCTTGCTCACTCGAGATCAAATCGTAATTATTACAGTAATAAAAACATCTTTTATTTGAGTCTTATAATTCATAATCTGACACTTCAAATATGTAGTTGTCGTTTTTGGAGGGATAATTCCAACCTGACCGAGTTACAATAGCAACTCACCACGCTGATGAGTAGTCAGACTCTAAGCCTGGCTAATAACTATAGATTATTTTCAAAAGTTAATGCTAGACTACCCAGAAATCATTTGAAACCATGTATGGAATCATCTTCATCGGAACTAGGGTGTCGCAGAGAAACGTCACTGATTGTGAGCAACCAAGTTACTTAGAACACGAGGCGTGAACAACTGGCGTCACTCACATTTCTTACATTGCACCAAATTTAATTTAGAGAACTCAGCAGTGGTGCATAGAGCGTGAGTCAAACCTCAACCAACAGGCCGACCAAGCACTAGTCAGACTAACGAAGGAGTAACTGTCGGCCCAATAGTACATTAATCACCAGTTGCTATCAGTCAAACTCCTACCCAATTAGCTCTATGCAACGCCAGCTTCGACCGCAATAGGCAAATATATTCTAAACATGGACGACCAGTTTGCACAAGTGTATGTACCAACCACCCACGCGTTACTTTTGATAGACTGAACTACCCTACATATCTAGGCAGTATCTCTTGTGGCTTAGTTCAATCGCACTAGATTTAGCGCATATCAGTTGACTCAGTTACCGTCGCAAGGCATATTTACAATAAGACCAGCACACCTGCGTTCAGAGTCAAGGTAGTTTTCTAAATGACGATTAGCAAGCCAATGGGTGACAGGCAAAAAATCTTGCAAGACATTACTCGTAAACCGAATCCCAGCCTAGTTTAGAACAGCAGTTTCAAGTTCATTTCACCACGTCAGATGTAGAGGAGCCAATATTTACGATGAGCTTCCACTACGCAAAATCACTACATTCAACTAATCTTAACTAGTGGCAAAATAGGACTGAATTTAAATTCTTACTGTTTGATTTAAACTCTAAGAACTTTGATGAAAACTGACCAGTTGTACTCGGATTAACACAAACCTTTGGCAATAACAAACTAACAGTTCCCTATGATATTTTCAGTTTCTATAGAAAACTGTAACTAAGGATGATAAACTCAAGAGTAGAACTAATGCTTGGTAATAGTTAAATAAAAGGAAATTAAGGGAATGGGAACGTGATTTCGACATTTACTTACAAATATGAACATATGGACAGATAATAAAATAGGTCTGAATAAATCTACTACTTCACACATATAATGCAATAGGGTTCATACGTTTGAGAGGAGACAGATGCCCTCTTCAAAAATAATGTAACATCGATAGAAATGTGAGAAGTAATACAATAAAATTCATGTTATGAATCTTGTTACATTGAAAGGGGTTTAGGTGGAGGTATTTTCTTGCCGATAAGGGACTTGTGGATGTGGGGGATAACACCACCACCTGCAATGGTTGCCTTGATCAATGTGTCAAGTTCTTCATCTCCACGAATGGCCAACTGTAGATGCCGAGGTGTTATACGTTTGACTTTCAAGTCTTTACTTGCATTGCCAGCTAATTCGAGAACTTCTGCAGTCAGATACTCCAGAATAGCTGCCGAGTAGACTGCAGCAGTAGCCCCAACTCTCCCATGGCTAGTAGTGCGTGCTTTCAAATGACGATGGATACGACCAACAGGAAACTAGGATAAGAGAATAGGGGAACATAGAAAGTTTATACAAACACGATTACTAGGTATCGTTAATTTCTATTTCATTTTAAAAGACTAGATAACTGAGTCAAAAATGGTTTTCGATATACGACATGAGATTGAGTTTTACTGAATGAAGTGCCTGTTTTGCAACTCCCTGATTGTTGTCCAGTAGAAGCTTAGGGGAAGCTATGGGCAGATGAATTGGAACGTAGTATTACTTTAGTGTTGAAATGACGTGTCGTGATACACAGAAACAAGTCGGAGTCCGCACGATGATCATGACCTATGATTACTTGAGATAAAAATTAAAATCAGTAGCGATCGCTCACTTCTGTTTACCGTTCTCCCTTTGTATATTGAATCCCTGTATCGCACTAAATGTATGACTTTTCTATTAGACGAAACTACGCATTTATGCACGAACCAATCAGATCTGGGATTTGGGAACGAAATTCACCAACTCATTTGGCCAAATACCATTTTGGTATTATAGCTGATATCAGTTCGTAGAAACATCATATCTAATTCCCCAAACTAATATATGACCCTGATAAATAGATGGACATTCCAAAATCGTTTTAGCGTCATCCATAATCTCACCTAACATTCTATGTTCATATTTATCTAAAATGAAAAATATAAACCTAGACGGTCACAAAGGATACTAACTCCTAACTACCCTGCTTCTGATTACTTTTTATTACTGATACAGACACCCATAAGTTAATATACAGCAAAACATATTACACTCGAAATAAACGTATTCATTGATAAGGCACTGCACTGCTAGACGTTCCCTTGGGAGAAATATTTTATCCACTTGCTTATAGATTTCTAGAAGGACTCTAAAAACCCACAGATATAAAGAAACTTTGTTTCGAAAAACCGATAAGATTTGGTACTTAAATTTCTAAACAACTCACAGGACCTTGAATTCATTATAGCTGACAAGTCTGTCGAATTATGACTACTAGTAAACGAACTATTCCAAACCCTATACATTAAAGAGCAACTATATTGACGATTTTACTTGCACTGTACGAGTACTTATTATTTAGTATACAATGTGGAAGTGGTCCTCGACCAGGTATTGTTGCAGTATCTATAAGGAGGACAAATCGCATGATTCTCTATCCCGAAAACCGGAACATATATTACAATGTCAGTACCTTTTGGAATAAATCTTAAGCTAATTCGGTCAGGGAAATGATTGTCATCCTATCATAAGAATGATTTGAAAGTTGATTATGATAAACGTAGTTCAGATCAAAGAAGACTTACTTGAAGGCCTGCACGATGTGAACGAGAAATTGCCTTGGCTTTTGCTTTA